TCTTCAAGTCATAGCTGAATTACAACATCTGGTGTACATTAAATTCTAATAATTCAATGACCTGTTGTCAATTACTTTGATTACAATTTTAACACATTTTAAAATCTTAACTGGGTTACTTGCTAAAATATTGGCTATGAATGTTGACTCATTGTATTATGTGGGAAAGTTGAGAGCTCCGAGTCACATGAGAGATGTTAAACTAGCAAAATCAGGTGCCTGGGACAATGTTCATAGTTTAACATTTTTACATAAAAATATTTGACGTAAATTCCACGATTGTCCAATCAGAATCAAGTCATTCAAAGAACTGTAATAAAGCCATATCATAAACCAATACAAATCTTTCTTGTAGACGTGACGTTAAGAAGGGAGAAAAGAACACCATTGTTACTTCATTCAACCGAAACTTCACGGCCAGAAATGACGCTAACCCTGCCACTCATGCTTTTGTCACCTCACCAGAGGTATTTCGCACCTGCTCACAAATGTGCTACAATCTCTGAATGTTTTCCCCCAAATCCTTTTGGATGAAGTCTTGCCTATTTATTTATACACTTTTTCATATCATTTGTGTTGCAGATTGTCACAGCCCTTGCCATTGCAGGCACTCTGAATTTCAACCCTGAGACTGACTTTCTCACAGCCCCCAACGGAGAGAAGTTCAAACTGGTGCCGCCCACAGGAGATGAGCTTCCTACTCGTGACTTCGACCCAGGTCAGGACACCTACCAGCACCCGCCACCAGATGGGTCTGGTCTGAAAGTAGATGTGAACCCTCAGAGCAACCGCCTGCAGCTGCTCGAGCCCTTCGACAAATGGAGTGGGAAAGACCTTGAGGACCTCCAAGTGCTCATCAAGGTAAGTTTTAGTCATGGGTGTTTGAAACTCTGGTTTTCGATATCACTCTGAACTATGTTACTCATTCTGTCAGGTGAAAGGAAAGTGCACCACTGACCACATCAGCGCTGCCGGACCCTGGCTCAAGTTCCGTGGCCACCTCGATAACATCTCCAATAACCTTCTCATTGGTGCCGTTAATACTGAGAACGATGCCGTCAATAAAATTCGCAACCTTCTAACTGGAGAGTTTGGTGGCGTCCCTGATGTTGCCCGCTATTACAAAGTAAATGCTGCTTTTTTTATGTTTGTCATTTATGCTTTTTTGCATATTGAGAGCATTTGTATTCATAACGATCTCTGGATGGTCTGTAATTTCCTCACTTGCAGAAGCACAATATTTCATGGATAGTTGTTGGAGATGAGAACTACGGTGAGGGTTCCAGCAGAGAGCACGCGGCTCTGGAACCCAGACATCTAGGAGGGAGGGCCATCATTGTGAAAAGCTTTGCTAGAATCCATGGTAAGTGAATTTGAATGCAAACCTTTTATTTCCTGCTTGAAGCTAAGCGTTTCATTTAGAAGTTGATTTGAATGAATCTGTCATGACTGTCAATAGAAACTAACTTGAAGAAACAGGGCCTGCTGCCTCTAACCTTCTCCAATCCTGCTGATTACGACAAAATCCGCCCGGACGATAAAATCTCCATTGTAGGGCTGAAGACCTTTGCCCCTGGAAAGGTAAGGCCTATTCTGTTAAACAGTTTCTAGTTTTAATGCCTCTATCCTGGTTTGTGTTAAAGGAGTAGTTCACCTTTAAAAAAAAAACTTTTGCTGATAATTTACTCACCCCCATGTCATTCAAAATATCCATGTCATTCTTTCTTCAGTCAAAATTAATGGACTTCAATGGGAACCAAACGATTCAAGGTCCAAAAGACACTTTCAGTGCAAACTGTTCAAAGGGCTTTAAATGATTCCAGACGATGAATAAGGGTCTTATCAAGCGAACCGATCGCTTATTTAAAAAAAAAAAAAGTTTTCTAAGCCCAAATGGTCACCGTGCTGTTCACAACAAAATGAACAAATATTTTTCCGAGTCAATTCGTACATTTCGTTCGTTGAATAAACCAAATGACTCGAAAAAAGATTTGTTCATTTTGATGAACGAGTTTGAACAGGAGTCACGAGCGCGCATTACAGAACCGAGCAAGGCGACCATTTGAGCTTAGAAAACTTTTTTTTTTTTAAATGACCAATCGTTTCGCTTGATAAGACCCTTATTCATCGTCTGGAATCGTATAAAGCCCTTTGAACAGTTTGCAGTTTGCACTGAAACTGTCTTTTGGCCTTTAACCGTTTGGTTCCCAGTAAAGTGTGTTATATGGAGAAAAATCCTGGAATGTTTTCATCAAAAACCTTAATTTCTTTTCACATGGGGGTGAGTCAAATATCAGCAAAAGTTCTTTTAAAAGTGAACTACTCCTTTAAAGGATTAGTTCACTTTTGAAAAAACTTTTGCTGATAATTTACTCACCCCCATGTCATCCAAGATGTCCATGTCTTTCTTTCCTCAGTCGAAAAGAAATTTAGGTTTTTGATGAAAACATTCCAGGATTTTTCTCCATATAATGGACTTCAATGGGAACCGGATGGTTCAAGGTCCAAAATATAGTGTTAATAACAGTTTCAGATGCAGCTTCAAATGTCTTTAAACGATATCAGACGATGAATAAGGGTCTTATCATGCGAAGCGATCGGTTATTTCAAAACTTATTCCAAAAATGTAACTTTTCTAAGGACAAATGCTAGCCTTGCTATATTCTCTGAGGCGCGTTTGTAACGTCACGTAATACGTGATTACGTTCAAAAGGTCACGGGCGACGTAGCCGGAAGTACAGAATTAAAAAATCGTCCGACATCGTTGTTTTTCCTTTTAATTCCTTTTTTTGTATACGGTGTTTGAGCTAGTTTGCACGTTCAACCTATGCGTTCAACTTGTAAACACTCTGACTCTGTACTTTCGGCTACGTCGCCCGTGACCTTTTGAACGTAATTACGTAATACGTGACGTTGCAAACGCGCCTCACACAATAGAGCAAGGCTAGCATTTGTCCTTAGAAAAGTTAAATTTTTGGAATAAGTTTTGAAATAACCGATCGTTTCGCATGATAAGACCCTTATTCATCGTCTGGTGTCGTTTAAAGACATTTGAAGCTGCATCTGAAACAGTCAATAACTGTCTTTTGGACCTTGAACCATCCGGTTCCCATTGAAGTCCATTATATGGAGAAAAATCCTGGAATGTTTTCATCAAAAACCTAAATTTGTTTTCGACTGAGGAAAGAAAGACATGGACATCTTGGATGACATGGGGGTGAGTAAATTATCAGCAAAAGTTTTTTCAAAAGTGAACTAATCCTTTAAGTCTGGCCCACACTAAAATATTTTTGAGCCCACAAACATGACGCTAAAAATCTATTTAATCTATTGTTCCTTCAGCCACTTAATGCCGTCATCAAGCACATTGACGGAAGCTCGGAAACCATCGAGTTGAACCACACCTTCAACGAAACCCAGATTGAATGGTTCAGGGCAGGCTCCGCCCTCAACAGAATGAAAGAGATCCAGTAATGTGATTGGCCATCGATATAGATATGTGGGAGGGGGAGGGGTTATGCATCAAGCAGGTGGATTGGTATGTTTATGAAAGGTTTAAATGCTTTCATGTAATAATGAACTGAAGTGTACACAATACATTTTAAAAACTGTACCTCATAGACAAGTCATGTCAATACACAAACTTCTCAAATCTATATAATATATTGCAGGGCGGATAAAAGATGTGAATTTTAGCAACTGTAATGCTTATAAATTTCAAGCTGGGCCTGTGTTAAGTTAACCTACAAAAGATGCTAAGCACATACATGTTAGAGGGAGACACCAGTGTTTAATTCATGAGACCATCCAAATATCTGTGCAGACGTTCATGAAACTGTTGTTTCTGTTATTTGAAATATTACACTTAACTGTAATGAGAGCTGATTGTGAGTTTTCTGTCCTGTTAACGTCTCTTGATGGAATGATATCTTATTTCACACGATTCTAACAACTGCTTTTCAACTTTTAATGATAATTGGTTTTCTTGTTCATGCAAGCTTAAAAATTGACCAGTTATTGTTCATGTTGCTAATTCTTACTGATTCAGAGTGACTTGTCTATGTCTGTTGGTCAAACCTTGGCAGATTATATAATTTACAACACCAAAATCTATCAAATATGTCTGTCCTGAATGCACAGCAGGTCCAAACTGTTCATGTTTTAAACATGATGCTTATTTATAAACATTTAAAATAATCTTGGATTTGGATGACAGTTATTGAGTAATGGATCAGTAATCCGAACTCCAACCTCTTGAGCACCTTTTCTGTATATTTGAGTGCCCTTTTTTGTAGGGTTGTTTTCTTTTCTTTCATTCAGAGCTGTACCCATGTCAAAGCAGTGACATCAATCACTCTGAACAGCAGACATAGCAACTATTAAGACTCCAAGGTGTAAATTACTAGCTTTGTCTGACTGACTCAACATGTTTGCTCATCAGATGAACTTTTACTGCAGCTCACAAACACAGCCTCTAGATAATAACTTGTTTGTGAGAAAATGAATGCTGATCAGTCACAGTGGGTTATAAAATAAAAGCCATTTCAAATAATTCAGTCTTTGTTAATGTATGTATTAGACTCATACCCTATTGTGCACATACCTTGGTAAACAATATATAAGTATAGCTTTGAATGGAAGTTTTCAATATTTTAGATGTTATGGACCCACAAATGTAATAATTTTGTGTTAAGGAACCCCATCCTTAAATTTTAAACCTTTCCATGGAACCACTACCACTCCCTTGCAGGCCCCTGGTGGTCCCTGGACGCACTGGTGTTCAAAATAGTTTTGTTTTGATTATAGTGATTAAATTCTTCTTAATCCTTCGATATTATAAAGTTGACTGAAATGTAATACATTGAAATATTATGAAGAACAAACGTAAATAACAACCCGAGCATCGCGTCAAAACAAGGACGCGCCTGTATGACATTAAGGGCCCTCTGATTTGACGACTGAAGGTTGACGTCAGTATTCTGCCGCGTGCAGCGTAGCGTCGTTGATTATAATTGGAGCGTTTTTGTTTTGTCGCGTCTCACGCGTTCAATTTTGATGGGTTGTCCCTCCTTCTCCACCCATAACCTCATTTATTGTGTGGCACGCAGGGGTCCATTGAGTCGAATATGTGCATGTGGACCACGAATCACAATAGTGGATTTTAGTGTAGCTATGTAAGGTTAGATATATTTGTTTCCGCGGCGCTTACAACCAATGTTTGATATCAACCATTGAGATAACAACCAACTGATTTATATCCACTATAACGTACAGTACGGTAAGAATTTTAATCATTATCCTATTGTATTTTCCTATCCTATCTGTATATATTACCGTTGATCGAAAACGCCTTTACTGTTGTGGTGTCGCATGCTGTCTGTGTGTTTGCTGTAGAAGCTGAGAGGTTTGTCAGCATCCTGCATTGTTGAGCGCAGGTTGATAGTATGTAAAAAAGCCCACCCACATAATCGCAGTTTAGTCACTATCGATTAGACTAATATGGAGTCTGCGATACACAGATATTGGCCTTTCTTAGACTGAAGGGCAGAAACCAGTGGTGCATTTGAAAACAATGTAGCAAGCAAACAGTTGGTGGAAAACAGTCTCCACAAGTAACACGATCTGATGTGTCCCGAATCCCGATGCAGCTGCTGCACCCAGATCTGAGGGCAAGGACAACACAACACAGTAAAAGCTCATCAAATCAGACTGGATATTTCGAAAAAAAAATTTGGTGTATTTGGTGTGTATATACATATGCACGTACATGTAAGAAAAACTATGAAATATTTATAAATTATGTTTTGTCTACAGTATATGCATGCAAATATTTCTTAAAATATGTGTGTATTTATATATACAAAATAATTATACACAGAACACATATATTATGTAAACACAAACTTTTATTTTGGATCCAATTAATCTTTGTCCATAAATTTATTAAATATATATGCATATGCAAATGTTATCTATTTTCTCCTTGATTTAACCCATTTTCAAACCACAGAGGCCTCATCTCCAGTGAACTTCACACCAATGGCTGATTCAGACAGCACATCTACATCTGATCGAAAGCTGCACTGCCCACATACACCCATCTCTCTTTCATTACCTTTCCTGAGGGAAGGCAGTAATGTCTTGGAGAGGAAACCACATCAGACAGGGGAACCTCTTAGCCCACTGCCAACCAAACGCACACGCACCTATTCAGCGTGAGTACCTCTGTTAACCATGGAAAACCCTGGATTTTGTGTTCTGTCTCACTTTAATGTTGTTGATATATATATATATATATATATATATATATATATATATATATATATATATATATATATATATATAATTACCAATATTGACACTCTTCTACTCTTCTATAGTGAAAAACATTTAACAGTTTAATCAATTTAAAGATCTCAAAGCAAATAAATAAATAAAATGAAACCATGAAAATGCATTTTGTAACCATTAAGACTTTAAATCAACCCAGAAAAAAAATCTTAATTTTTTATGTTTAATATGTGGGTTGTGCAACGATTAATTGCGATTAATCGCATCCAAAATAAAAGTTATTGTTTACATTATATGTATGTGTACTGTGTAGAATTATTTAGTAAATATAAATACACACACATAAAGAAAAATATGTCATTTATACATAAAACATTTATATTTATATATAATATTAATTATTTATAAATATATATATACAGTATATACATGTAAGTGTGTGTATTTATCTATACAAAATAATTATACAAATATTACCAGTATGTAAACACTAAGTTTTATTTTGGATTCTTTGAATCGTGATTAATCTTTGCACATCCTATTTATATAATATAATTTAGTATTTATAAATAATATAAATATTCATATTATTTTTAATAATTTTTTTAATATATTTATTTTTATAATATTTATTATTTTATATTATTAGATGACGTGGTTTTAATTATTTAATAAAATATAATGCATTCTCGGTTTTTATTTTTTGTAATATAATAATGATTATTTACTTTTGTCAAAAGCAGAATTAAAACGATAGTTAAACATGTTCCCCATTGGCTAACAGACATATTGGAGATGAAGATGACGGAGCAGAGAGATGTAGATCTTAATATCAGCCAGTTTAACTTTATTAATAAACAAAACAAAGGAGATAATAATAAATAAAAAAACAGGAATCGTTGGAGTACAACAAGACAATACTGAACAATGGACAGAACTAAATTCAGGGCATAAATACACAAGATAATGACAAAACATAAATCTGACACAGGCACTGAAAATATATATATATATAGTTATTGTATTGAAAAATTGTATAGAGAATCTAATGGATGTATTGAAGAAAAAGTTTTGGTGCACCATATATTGTTGTGTTAATTTCAACAAAACCTAAAGAGATGTTTTGCTCTTCTTATTCACTAAAAGGAATCATGTTCGTTAATTAGAGCCATTTTCCTCTGGTGTTTTGTCAGATCGGTGAGAGCCAAATCTGGACCCGTCTTCAAGGGCATTTGCAAGAACTTCTCCAGGTCACAAGGTCACGGATTCATTCAACCCTCCCATGGAGGAGAAGACATATTTGTTCACATCTCAGAGTAAGTGAATATACAAATATAATTTTAGAATAATTTTAGCATCTATTTGTTTAACCAGAGTTCTTCTTTTTATCTAGTATTGAGGGTGAATATGTGCCTATGGAGGGGGATGAGGTGACTTACAAAGTGTGTCCTGTTCCTCCCAAGAACATTAAGTTCCAAGCTGTTGATGTGGTGATCACCAACCTTTCTTCCGGAAGGAAGCACGAGACCTGGTCTGGGCAAGTTATCAGCTCCTAGCTCACACATTCAAGCCCAATAGAGGAATAAACAGATAAAGGAAGGGATTTAACTCATGTTGCTCATGCTGGCGTAAAATGGTGTTGTGTGCAAGTAGGATAGGAATGGAATAGTAATTAGGGTTATGCAACTGTTGTTTTCTCCAGTCTGGCAAATAAGCAACAGGAAGTTGGTCAGAGGTCTGTTTGGAAAATGGTTTGGGATGCAAGTCAGCTGAGCTTTGATAGCATTGTCACATAACATAACATAACATAACATAACATAACATAACATAACATAACATAACATAACATAACTGTGAGCAGCAGTGTTGCCCTTGTTTAAATGTTTGTCATAAATATGTTCTTAATTATGTATTTATTTTCATTTTATGTACAGAGGCATTTGATTTCATTGTGCTGCTGTGTATGTTCAAGTCATTTTATGTAAAACGGATTTCCTAAAATAAATTAATACACATCAATGAAAACTTCCATTTATTTACTTGTAATTGATAGGACTGGTATTAGTTTTCGGTCACAAATCACAAAAATCTGTTGATTTTGTCAAGAACAATGCCACGCCAACAACCATGCCACGCTCAAAATTGCTTGAATCACCTTTCTTTCCCATTCTGACATTCAGTTTGGAGATTCAGGAGATTGTCTTGACCAGGACCACACCCCTAAATGCATTGAAGCAACTGTCTTGTGATTGGTTGATTAGATAATTGCATTAATGAGAAATTGAACAGGTGATCCTAATACTCCTTAAAGGGTTAGTTCACCCAAAAATGAAAATTAAGTCATTAATTACTCACCCCCATGCTGTACCAACCCCGTAAGACCTTCGTTCGTCTTCGGAACACAAATGAAGATATTTTTGATTAAATTTGAGAGCTGTATAACTACCACATTGGCTCCTAAGGGACTGCCTCTTGACGGCCCAAAAAGTCAATGAAGAAAATGTTTAAATATCCCAAGTGACTACCGTGCCTCAACTATATGTTTATCAAGCGACGCAAATACTTTTTGTGCGAAAAAACAAACAAAAATAACGAGTTTATTCGACTATTTCTTTTCTTCCTTGTAGGCCAGAACGAGACTTCCTTAGATTTCCACGACGCATGCGCGAGAATTGCGATCTGCTTACACCAGCTTACACTACTTCAGATCGCAATTCTCGCGCATGCGTCGTGGAAATCTAAGGAAGTCTCGTTCTGGCCTACAAGGAAGAAAAGAAATAGTCGAATAAACTCGTTATTTTTGTTTGTTTTTTCGCACAAAAAGTATTCTCGTCGCTTGATAAACATATAGTTGAGCCACGGTAGTCACTTGGGATATTTAAACATTTTCTTCATTGACTTTCTGGGCCGTCAAGAGGCAGTCCCTTAGGAGCCAATGTGGTAGTTATACAGCTCTCAAATTTAATCAAAAATATCTTCATTTGTGTTCCGAAGACGAACGAAGGTCTTACGGGGTTGGTACAGCATGGGGGTGAGTAATTAATGACTTAATTTTCATTTTTGGGTGAACTAACCCTTTAAGGTGAGTGTATACATAAAGTATAGACCTATATAAAATGAAAAACAAAATACACATATTATGCCCTATTATCCAGTGTCAAAACCAAAACTGTTCCCTTGTAAAGACTTAAAAATGTTAAAAGTACAGCCATGAATTCATTAATGTGTTGAGTGATGTAGTACCTTCAGAAGAGAAGCAAGAGGTGAGGTTTTTTTTGGTAACGTGTACAGATGTCCACTAGAGGGAGCAGTGCATCATGAAAAGAGAGATTGTGTTTATGTGGAAATAATAACAAATAATATACTGTCAAAGAAGAGAGCACTACGTCATGAAAAATGGAAGACTATTTCAATTTCGGTGCGGAAAACTATAAACGCAATGCAATACAACAACAACAACAACATAAAACTATGAAAGGATAGTGATCCCCCCCCCCCCCCCACCCACCCACCCCCACACATTTTACTTTTATTGCACCCTCAGCTCATAAACCAGCAACTAGTCATGGGGCAATTCTACAAAGAAACAACTACTCACTGTATATAATCACACATTTAAGTGCAGTGAATGAAATTTAGCTAGAGAAGAGAGAACCGAAAAATGACTTATGCCTGCTGTCTTTTGATTGAGATTAAAATAAGATTTACTTCTCAGATTTTTCTCAGACGTCCTAAATGAAACTGAACCATAAATATATGAAGTGCCATGACTATTGTTTGATGATAAATCAATACAGAGGGAAAGCATCCAGTGTATAAACGTGTTGGAAAGCGGCACATTCAAGTAGCACTACATTTAGAAAAAAGATGAGAAGTGTACCTATATTTATTTACGTTTTTACTTGGCTGTAAGTTGAACAACACAGTAGCCTACACAGCCCTCCTGGGGATAAATAAACTTTAAAAAATAAATATATCTTAAATAAAAAATATTTTATGGGCTATAATATGCTTAAAATAAATACAATAAAATAACCTACGCACAACAAATCATATCATGCATCACCAGGGGCAATTTATTATCATCCTCTTACCTGGGAAAACAAACAGGACAGGTGCTTCATTCTGACCACTAATGACGCATCCATTTATCACGGGACGATGGCTTTATGGCTCAACCTTTGTCCTTCACTCCTCTTCTCACCGTCCTAAACGTGTTGTTTTCTTTGTACACTAGTGTTCAACAGACTCAGAAGAGCTTCAGCTTCAGTTGCTTTAACAGAAATTTGATTACTTACCCATACTGAATGTTTATAAGAGCACAACTATGAGAATATTAGGCCAAAACTCTCGCTCTGACCATAACTGTGTGAGCAAGCTTTGTGAACTTGCAATCTAAAGTCTGCCTATGATGCCCATAAATACTGTCTTTGTAGGCAGCTCACTAGGATTTGGGACGCGGCCACTGACTATGTTGTTCATTAACACGCAACACGCCGAGGTGAGAGTGATCAGTGTGAAAGTGAACCGGTCTAGGACAAAAGACCAGCTTGGATAAAACAACCTTATTAGTGGTTTCCATTCTTGGGATATTCACATAAATATGCTAAAAAAACTGGACAATACAAACTATGAACTGAAACATCATGAAAATCAGTTCTAACTAAACATTGGGCGGCGTCTTTATCTTCTTCTCACACTATGGATTATTACATCTGGTTATTTGCATGTCTATCATGGTCGTTCCTAAAGCAAAGTCACTTCATGAAAGAGTCTTGTTTTAATGGCACTCTTCTGATGAATGTAATTTTATTGGATGACGACGTGTCGCCCTGGAGTATCAATTTTGTGAAGCCTGCGGTGATGAGGGCTATTGAATCTGATTCTTCGATCAACTCAAAAGATGGTAAGGTATAATCCTAAAAACATTGTATAGAAAATGAGGCACTCATCGACACCATCAGAAATTACAGTCTTGTGAAGCCACAATTAAAGGGATAGTTCACCCAAAAATCAAAATTTCTGTCATCATTTAGTTGTTTTAAAACCTGTGTGAGTTTTAACCTTATGTTAATCAAAAAAGAAGATATTTTGAAGAATATGGAAAACCACGCAGATGCTGGTCCCCATTGACTTCTATAGAATGAAAGAAAAAATACTATAATGAAATAGTGACCAGAAACTATTTGGTTACCAACGTTCTTCAATATATCATCTTTTGTGTTCAACAAGAAAGAAACTCATCAGGTTTTGAACAAATTGACGGTGAGTAAACGGTAACATTTTTGGGTTTAAACTACCCCTTTAAAGTTATGTAAAACAAAACCAACATTTAGTGACAACTTAATATTGTTTAAATATTGAATTTATTGAATAATTAAGGAATTCATTTGTCTCTTTTTCTACTTTTTCAAGGTGTGGATTTAGCAGTGAAATTCAGAGGATTTCAAACCATTTACTACCAAAAAAAAGGCTGTACCAGTAGCGCCTGCGAGGGAGTTGAAATTTTAAATGATCTCGCGGTCAGTTTTGGGTCTTTTATTTTACATACTTTATAGAAGCTACAATATATAGGCTATATGAAGTTTACACTGATTGTTGTGATTTCTTTCGTAGTCTGCAGGGGAGGAGGGATGTGCTCTACTGGGACCAACCTGCACTTATGCCACTTTCCAAATGGTTGAGTATGTTAGATTTTGCATTTACAGTTATTTGTCTGTATTGTACATTTTCTTGTTTTAGTTCATGCTACCTGCATCCTTAGGAATCAACTTTTAGTGTTCTTCCAATCCTGTCCAGTGTTCTTTAAAACTATAACATCAATAAATCAAAAGTCCATTGAAGTGTACTTAAAGGGAGTACACTTTCATGACTGCTTATTAAAGGGTCACTTCACCCATTTGCATTAAGCTTTGTATCTTTAGAAACCCAGTCATATTTTTGAATGGTCATGGTTTATTCCCTTATTTTCCCCTGAGATGGGAGAAATAAGGATTTAAGTGTTTTATTTCCTGCTTATCGTGACGTAAAAATCGTCATTTTGCGTCACGATAAGCAGGAAGTCACATTTCATTGAAATGTCAACAGACTACAATGATTAGCTCATTATTATTCAAGGGTGTGGCACCCACTCACCCACAGGCCTATTACAGATCAGTGGGTGGGACTTCACTTGCAGAAACTGAAATCAATATCCGCCATCTTGTTTGGAAGCTAAGCTAACAAGCCCTGTGGAGATATGAAGTTATGATAATGGAAGAAACTAAACATGATATGGAAGAAGAGGGTTTTGAAAGTCTGCTGCTCGAATCGGATGTTCGTGGCTATCTTTACGAGCTGCAGTATAGTTTAGAGCAGCTGAGGCTGATGGAGGAGCAGGAGACGCCTGGCTGTCGGTCGAGACGCCCGGACTGGGTCGAGCTCGGCGGCCTGCTGTTGCTTGTACTCTCGCTGCGTGTCACGGCCTACGGACACAGAGTCCGTCTGCTGCAGAGAATTTCAACGATGGCAATTTCTCCTGGAGGAAATCTCTGAATCAGACGAGCACACGGACGTTTGTGTTGTGATAGTTTCGCCTTCAGAACATCCAGGTATCATGCAGTAATTCACCATACAGAAATAAATACAAACGCGGAGTAATTCACTAACGTTAATGTGTTTACAAATGTAACGTGAACGGGGTTTAATGTTGTGGGAAAAAAGAGGCATGAACCGGCGAACATTTAAACATTTTAATAGTAAAATGAACAAATACAAAACGAAAGTAAGCCAGCGTTACACACAACAGAAACAAAACATAAAATCAGGCCTGTTTCTCTCTCGATCTGCCGTCGTCGCTCCCCATTTTATGCATTCGCTCCTTCTATTCGTGAGAGACGCACCGGCGCGCGCCGTTACAGGTGTCTTTCATTATCACTCACGCCACCGGCCTCGCGCAGCGCGCCGTCCTCTTACATCCCTCGCCCTCGATCGTCCTGCTCGCCACAGCCAACTAACGTAACTAGACATTTTGTTTGAAATGAATTTTAAACTCTTACTCTGGTAACAGCTAATGTTTGCGTTGTAGACGGAAGAGTGTGTTTGCGTCTCTGTTTGCGCTGTTCCGGTGGGTGGGTTAGTGGGTGTGTCTTGCGGAGCTGTGCAATGTTGGGGAATTCTGGGAACTGTAGTTTTTTAACACAAAGGCGCCCCTTGGTTATTTTCTGTCTTTTCTCAGTCAAGAGGGCACCAAATTAAAAAATGATTTTACATTTCGACTACATATATGATCCACTTTCAATAAAGATTAATGTTGCAATGGGTGAAATGCTCCTTTTAACACACTTAAGTACACTTTTAAAAAGTGCTCTTCGTCAAATGAAAGGTTTTACTTGACTAAAATGAATGTTTGAGCAGTTTTAACTGAAAGCAGCTTGTCAGTGCCATTGTTTTGTCTTAAGATGCACATCAGTATTGTTTTTTTTTTCTAAGGCACGTTTATAAAAGGGCTAATCATGGCTTAATCTAAACCCTGTCTGTGAAACCGGGCAATTACGTGTTAGTAATTTTATATAATGCTTTAAATAATTAATTTAATGTGTTGATTAACATACTAAAGAACATGTAAAACTTGATTGTAATTTTAAATGTAGTGCTTTATTCACCATTACATTTAAAGTAAATATATTTTAAATGTACTAAATTTGCACGTCATCATTATTAATGTGTAGTTACAAATATATCTAAATGCATACTTAAATACATGACATAGATTATAAATGATATTAAAGTATATTTTAGTTTACCATAAATGCTTGTCAGCACATTGAGCAGTACACTGATGCACTTAAAGCCTATTTAAAGGGTCACTTCACCCAAAAAACACTTTCACTAGTTTACTTAAGTTAATACTTTCAACTCAAGGCCCAGAAAGGTAGTAAAGACATAATTTAAGTAATCAATGTGACACATACGTGTTGTGTTGATATGACAGCAGGTGTTGTTGAATGAACGTGTATTGGAGATTAATATTATGTTAATATATTGGTCAATTATTTTATTTTTTGGGCGAACAAAGCATTCACGTCACTTCATGAAATGTTGGTTAAACCACTGGAGTCACATAAATTACTTTAAAGGTTCTATATGTATTTTTATATATATATATATAAAATGAATCCTTTTTTTATTGCCTGTGTTTGAAGGGGTTGTAATCACACATTGCAATGATCCACTTTTCGGGTTTTGCTATTACCTCTGAAGGCCAATATTCATATTTACTGTATAAGTGAGGTCTCTGGGTCGGATTTCCTGCGAAATCCATCAGATGTGACGTGCATGCGCGCTCCCGAGCCTCTCTATCCTTATTACAGTCTATGCGACGGCACTTCAGCTGACGACATGGAGTCTGATAACAGCCCAAAACGTCCTGCCTCCAGCAAAACACAGACTGATACATCACCGCTAGAGGCCGCTAAAATCGCATACAGCACCTTTAAAGGGGTGGTAAAGTATGATTTCACTTTTCTAACTTTAGTTAGTGTGTAATGTTGCTGTTTGAGCATAAACAACATTATCCAAGTTACTACGCTCAAAGTACAAAGCAAAGGAAGATATTTGCTTTTAAAGAAAAGGACTACAACAAATGGCTGGTAGGGACTACACAACATTCCTCAAGGGTTAGTGACACCACCAACCCTAAAATGTACATAAGCCTTGCCCCGGGAACACGCAGTCCATGTTGAGAGGAAAAGTTGTTGTATAAAAGTACATTTGTGAGTCAGCTCAAACTTTAGCATCCATCTTTTCACATGCAATAGAAAGTCACTCCGTGTGCATCTCACAATAGTTCCTATATGAGCAATTTATAGATTACCATTACAGAATATCCTAACTGAAGATAGTTAACTCCACATCAGCAACATAAATTCATCAACTAACCATTCAGAGACGTCCTGTTGTATTCTAAATGTTGTCACTTCTCCTTGAGTCTTTCCATCTTTGACTGACTCCATTTTATCATTAAAGGGAGAACACACACACACACACACACAAGCTCTTGAAGCCCCGCCCTCTGCAGCAGCTCATTTGCATTTAAAGGGCCAGGCACAAAACGGTGCGTTTTTGCAAACCCTCAAAAAGTGACAACTTTAACATGCTATATAAAAATATCTGTGGGGTATTTTGTGCTAAAACTTCACACATACACACACACACACACACACACACACACACACACACTCTGCGGACATCAGAGACTTATTTTACATCTTGTGAAAATGGCATTTAATCTTTATTACCTTTCTGGGGCTTGAAAGTGTAGTGGTGTAGACTGTCAATGAAGGGACAGAAAGCTAACATTAAAAATATCTTAATTTGTGTTTTAAGGGTTTGGAACGACGAGGGTGAGTTATTAACGGAATTTACGTTTTTGGGTGGACTAACGCTTTAGGTTGGTCAAAAAAAAAAACGACTTGCATTTTATATACACTGGTAGATTTAAACTATAATACATTTTGCAATATAATAAAGTATGAGTATATTTTTGGATAATGTACTTCTGTGTTTATTCATCAGGCAGATACTGTTGACCAAAAAAACTAACAAAAAAATGATTCAGTGACACAAAGTTGTAGCATATGATAGCAACAACAGGAACAACATGTTGACCTCAATGAAAAGATAATGCACCTGTCAGTCAATTTAAAAAATGGATGTTTTTGGGGCAATTTCATTGCTATTCAAAACTGACTTTACTCAACACCTGATATGTGTTCGTTCGATCACTTTTGTAGTTTGGAGATCGGTTTGAACCTCAACATGCCCATCATATCAGCAGGAAGCTTTGGATTGTCTTGTGACTTTAAGAGAGATCTGACTCGCATTCTGCCTCCAGCGAGAAAAGTCTCCAGCTTCTTCTCTTACTTTTGGAGTTTCGAAGATCCTATCAAGCCTAAATGGGAAACAGCGTATTTATACAAGAAACTGAATTTCACAGAGGACTGTTTCTGGTGAGTATGTGGTGATATTGTACATTAATAGTTTGCAACAACAGAGTTTCATGAAGGAATATAGGAATCTTCCCTTGTGGCGTTCTGATATTTGGGTCTTGTCTGTAGGTATATAAATGCTCTTGAAGTGGGTTTAGGCAACTTTTCCACCACGTCAACAAAAATAGTGGTTCTACGAAGAGAGGACGAGCTCAGTAAAGCTCTAGCCAACCATGACCGGGAGAGCAATCGTGAGAACTTATTTTATTTGAATATTAGTTTGTAAATGTTTTAGGGTAATTTATAAATCAATATTTGTGCCACTGGTCACAATGTTCCACTGTTACATTCAAAAAGTCAAACGTTGAAGTGTTTTTTTTTGTTTTTTTTTGTTTTGTTACTTTATTTCTATTTCACAGTGTTCATTTTTTGTGGGACACCTGATGACATCATGGATCTGAAGAATGGCACTATGTTTGATAAGGAAACTGCTTTTTTTCTGATTGACCTTTACAAGTAAGTCATTCAGTTTCAATTCCTGCTTTCTTTAAGCTAGAGCTTTCTATGATATCTATTGATCTTGACTTAACTTAATGTGCATGGATAGCCAGCTAACTGAGATATATAACTGTGCTAATCTCCTAATTTAAAGAGTCTAGACATACTGGGATTTGTAAGTGAGAAACAATACCAACTTTCTCTCACAGCGACAGATATTATAATGGGTCATCTAACGATGCTATGAAGAATGTCCTGGTGTTAACAATGCCCAACACAAGACAATACACCATTGACACTTCTGGTAACAACAGGGTAGGTACCGTGTTTTTGTTGATCTGTCCTGACAGGCCAAAACCCATTGTAATTTCCAGCAATCTCTAATTTTTCTTGCTATATTTAGTTCATAGCTTGGATTGATGTATATTAAATACACATTTCAATCAAAAAATATAATGTATATACACTACCGGTCAAAAATTTGGGGTCAAGATTTTTTTGAAAAGATAAATGAAGCTTTCTATTCATCAAAAAATCCTGAAAAAAATTGTATCACGGTTTCCACAAAAAATATTAAGCAGCACAACTGTCTTTAACATTGATAATGAAAATATATGTTTCTTGAGCACCAAATCAACATATTAGAATCATTTCTGAATGGTCATGTGACACTGAAGACTAGAGTAATGATGCTGAAAATTGACTTTTGCATCACAGAAATAAAATAAATTATATAATATAAATTATATATATATTGTATATTAAAATGCAAAGCATTTTTTTTAACTGTAATAATTTTTTACTATTTTACTTTATGTTTCATATACTGGTGAGAATAAGAGACTTTCAAAAGATTACAAAATCTTACCAAACCCAATTGTATTTGAATGCTTGTTGCATAAGTTTGCCACAACTGTAAAACAGTCATACCTTTTTAAAATTGGACATGGATCATGTTCACACAATAAATATTAAAAATAGTTTATTGTTATTTTATTCATTATTTAGGTTGTCAGTTGCACTTATGCACTCATTTCTATTTGTTATGATGACATTTCACATTTTATGTAGTTATAATATAAAAGACAGCTTCAAAAATGTGTCCGTTTTGTCATTTTGTAGTGTGTTATCGCACAGTGTTCGCATTTACATACAGTACGTCCTCTTCTGAATCTAGAAGTGATAACTCTCATTTCCTCACTGTTCTTCTGTGTGCAGATGAATGATTATATTGCAGCATATCATGATGCAGTGCTGCTGTTCAGACAGGTGATGATGAACATCTGGAACACAGCCTTCTCAGATATTCAGGATATAGAGTCTGTCAGCATGAACTACTTCAGAAACATTTCTTTCAAAGGTGAAACCCTTTAGCCATCTCTTATAATGTTGTAGTTGCTTTCGTAGATCTACATGATAATTAAGAATTTAAAAAATCCAAACCACAGGCATAGCAGGAGAATATCAGCTGGATGAATATGGTGACAGGGATGTGATATTTTCTTTGATCTACACTAACGATGACAATGAGGTATGCCACAGATTTCTATTTACAGAATGGATTTTTTTTTTTAGCAAACTATCATTATTGGACATTAAAACTTACCTCTTCTCTACTTTAGTATAAGATTCTTTATGAGTTCAACACTTCCACCAACCACACACAGCTAATAGACAGCAAACCTTCCTTCATTTGGCCTCAGCTCAGACTGCCTGCAGACCGTCGATTAATAGATACAAGAGGTATGAGGATTTAAAAAATCAAGTGATTGTAATTTTAATGGTAAAAAACAAACAAACAAACAATAAACTGTAAAAAGGTTGTGGTAAAATCCTCTTATTTGGTTAAAAGAAGTTCCAATACTCCATATGGTGGAAAACTGTAATAGATCTAATGGGTCATTTCATGCGATTTTACAGTAAATGCTGTTAAATGCACACTTTTTGCAAGTAAAAAAAAGTCATCTTATTATTTTACAATCAAAAACCATAACTATGTTTCTTCTTATCTTTTTTTCTTGTCAGTTATATACATTAGGGTTCAATGTTCAACTTGTACATTTGTATATCTGTGTCAGTGTTTGTGTCTCATTACAAGTAGGCTAATTCGAGTTAGGTAACCTGGATTTCCCGAAACCTTCTTAACGCTTCGACGTTCTTAAGTTATACCTAACCTTACTACCTTTTCACTGTTGGCAGTCTATAGGAATATAATTATGGAGTTGTAATACATTAACAGTGCTCAATTATTGTCACCATTGTTGCATTTTTATATTGCGATATTTGTGACACGATATATTGTTACACCCCTAGTTGTTAGTAATATTATAAAGATAAAAAAAATGATTTTAGTAACTTGGTATATAAACATTATTTAAATGAATGAAACACATGGTTTTTACTGGAAATTTAAGTTCAATGTGTAATATCTAAAATATTGCTACCATTTTAACGGTAAAGATCTGGCAACAGCAACTGCTGTTTTTTTTTTTTAAACCATAAATTTCACAGTTATTTTTTGCATCAAGCATATTTTGCTGTATATTGTGTTATAATGTAAAAATGTATTATGTAGTATATGTAATTTTATTCATGATTTAAATGAAACCAATATTTATTTATTTATTTATTTATATAGGCCTTCAATTCAACACCATTGTCATAGTTTTGTGCACTGCTGTTGTGGGTGTCATGGGTACACTTGCCTTCATTTTTTACTGGTAAGAGCAATACGTTGTTGTTTTTTTCTCACTCTTATTATACAGTATGTCCCTCTGTAATGCGACTTTTTGTAATGCTACTGGTTTTACCAGTACATATCTTATATGCTCATTGTGTATAAAATTGTATGTACCAAGATATTTACAGTTGTTTCTGTATATATTTTAAAGGCAAAATAGATATTACCATAATATGCGGAAAAAATGGTCTCACATTTCCTCAGAGCTCATTACCCCTTTAGAGTTGAATGAGTGGAATATGATCTGTCTGAAGGTAATGCATTGGCATCAAAGTCTTTGACTTTTATAATAATGTTTTTAAAAACGCTTAAGTTTACTATTTTTTACTGGATGAATATTTCATTGTCTGATCAGATTGAGGAAGACTCTACACAAAATAGCAGCTACATCCTACGCCGTGCACGCTATGATAAAAAGGTACCGTAAATGCTCAGTTTTATCCAAAATGATTACATTTTTTAATGAATAGATTATTTTTCTTTATAGATTGTTATCCTTAAGGAGCTAAGGCTCACAGATGGAAGCTTCACTGAAAAACAGAGGATAGAGCTCAATGCGGTAGGAGGATTTCCTTTTTCACTGAATAACAGAATCATTTTAAGAGAAAACCTGAGTAATTTTGTGTTGTTCACAATAGAAATCATAATGCCCCTTTCATTTCAGCTCTTGAACATTGATTATTACAATCTTACCAAATTCTATGGGACAGTCAAATTTGACAATGAGTATTTTGGTGTGTTTGAATATGGAGAAAGAGGATCACTTAAAGTGAGTATTATAACGAGCCTCGTACAATGACTATATCGAATATAGTAAATGAATACTAAAATATGGATTTTTTTTTTTTTTTTTTTTTTTTAGCATGTGCTTAATGATAAGATTTCATACCCAGAAGAAACATTCATGGACTGGCAGTTTAAGATCTCTGTCATGTATGACATTGCAAAGGTAATGATTACCTACAGTAGGCCTACATTTAGAGTATTTGGTAACACTTTATAATAACTGCACGCTATTAATCATTAGTTAAGCGTGAGTAAACAGTTAATTCATCATTTATAAAACATTAATAGACATTAATATGCAGTTTATAAATACAGCTATACATGTTTTTTTCTTGATTTATAAGCATATCTATAATGCGTTTAATGAGTGTATTTTCATACTTTGTTAATGATCAATTAATAATTTCTAAATGAAGTATAGCATTATTTACAAACCAGTTGTTTAAGAGTTGTCAGTCATTCATAAGATCATTTAGAAAGTGTACGTAAATGTAGTAAATACAGGTAGTTATAAAGCATTTAGTAGTGGTTAGTTAACTATTTTTGTGACCTAATCTAAAGTGAGGACTATTCATGCTTTGTAAAGCATTTATAAAGGTGATTTAAAGACTCGTCAATCTTCTAAACAGTAAAATGTAACAAACACAACGCAGTGATACAGAACATAGAAATATTTAACAGCCTTTAAAAATGCTTTACAAGGCATGACTAGTCCTCACTTTAGATGAGCTCACGAACATAGTTAACTGACCACTACTAAATGCTTTATAACTACCCAAATTAACCCTTAATTACAGCATTAATACATGTTAATAAAGCATTTATTAACACATTAAGTAACCATCACTATATGTCTGAATTATAAGATGTATGAATGTACATTTAAATAGTTTATTAATCATTTACTTACTCGCTCTAAGTAATCGTATGAACCACTGAAAACTCTTAAATAACTGGTTAATAAAAAATGCAATTCTTCATTTAGAAATGATAAATTGATCATTAATAAAGGATGAAAATACAATTATTAAACAAATTATAGATATGCTTTTAAATCAAGAAGAAAGCATTTATAGCTGTATTTATGAACTGCTTATTAATGTCTACTAATGCTTTATGAATGATGAATTAATGGTTTACTCATGCTTAACTAATGATTATTAGCGTGTAGTTATTATAAAGTGTTACCGAGTATTTTTTTTAAAATCTAAATTATCATATTCTTTGCATATGGCAGCATCTCAATGGATCGTTTAGCGTCTATTCCAGCTAGACGTGCTATATGCGCATGTCATTAATAGTTTTGTAAATGTCCTATACTAACACAGATTCTCGGATGAACTTTTTGAACTTTCTTTAGGGCATGTCTTATCTCCACGCAAGCAACATTGCAGTCCATGGACGTCTTAAATCCACTAACTGTGTGGTTGACAACCGCATGGTTGTGAAGATTGCAGACTTCGGCTTCAATACGATTCTCAGTCCCAGTAAAGGTGAAAGGGTGGTTTATTATAATCTTCACAAAGAAGTTCAGTTATTTCTACACTTCTAAGTTCTACGGTTATGGTTAACCATTTGCTTACGTTAATATTTACCTCTTTGTGTTTCCGCTTCTCTCAGATCTGTGGACGGCTCCTGAACACCTGAGGAAGCAGGGGATCTCCCAGAAAGGAGATGTGTACAGTTTCGCCATCATTTCCCAGGAGATCATGATGAGGAAGTGCACATTCTACTCAAGGGCCTGCTCTAATCGTGCTGGTGAGACAAGAGTTATAGGCAGCTGCACCAAAATACACAATCATCAGTGACGCCTACTGGTGATTTTTCCTTCATCCATGACCACACTTTAAAAGTATAATTAAGTCAAAGTTTAAATTATCTACTCATTCATTTACTCACTCAAAGGTGAATTTTTGGACTGAAGTGCTGGTAGTTTTTTTCCTAATTTTCTATTTTTTTTTTTTTTTACAATAAATTAGGATTGTAGCTTAATAGTTAAAAAGTAGCTTATATGTGGGCTGTATACAAAGTCTACTGAAGCCATATAATAGCTTTTTTGAGAAAATTAGAGATTTAAAATATGTTGATTTACCTGTTGTTTACAAAAACATGGTGCAAATTCCAACAAAAGAATATATATTAATGTAAGTATGAAGTAAATGAACATGCTTTCATCATGTGCAGTGACCTATGCGGCACAGACCAATTTTCAGTTGTTTCTGATTATTGCTTTTAGCAATTAATTCTATAGAGATTGTGATTTTGTTTTTTAGATCAGGGGTATTTCAGAAAAGGTTTTCATTTGGTTTAATGTTGCCATTGTTTTTCACTGTAAAACAAAAGCAGCACATTTGATCTTGACATGAGCAATTCATCTTCATTTGATATTGTTTTCATTGTCTCTCTCACCGCCTTTGCATTTTCTTGAAGCTCAGTCTTGTTCTTTTCTTGCCTTTTAGTCTCTTTCATCCACCACCTCCATATTTTCTTGATGCTCAAACATTGAGAGGGAAACCATCCTCTAGGTTCTTGTTGACTTGTTGAAAGCAAACACATCCCGGGATTGAGTCCATTATCGATCCCATGACAACATAGTAACATTAACTTTGCTGCTGCATGCTCCAGTATGTGCATCGTTTCCCCTATTGTTGGTGGTGGAGTAACATTTGCTGTCTGCGCTATCTTTGTATCCTCAACTTGTTTGGTTGACTTTCAAGCCTCCCCTTTTTATCTACTCTTTTTTTCGCATCAGTGTCTTCCTTCTGAACTCAACTGCACCAGACCTATGCTCATCATTCCAATTTAGCATGGGCCAAGTATTACGATAGTCTATTACTGACACAGTGTTTCATAATGAAATTCCAAATACCAGCAGCCATTACGCAAAGGAACTGAGAATACATATATGACCCAGAGGGATGCATATGGAGAACACTGGGGTGTCCAGCTGCAGGTGGAATATTTCAACCATGGGGGTGGCAAGGTGGCTTGCCGAGGGAAAGACGCATGCTCAGAGAGGCTTACAGTGGAAATACAAATGTGGGAGTCACCCAGAGGGGGGACCGTGCACACGGATGCACCTAGCCAACGCGCAGACAATAGACACTGGTGTCGACGTCAACAGGAAGCTCACCTGAGGAAAATATTGCACGTATCCAGTCCGTGGAGTGGAATGGTGTGTGCAAGCGAAGACACGTGAGTGGGCAGTCACACCAAGGGGGCATGGTCGACCTTGCTGCTGGTATGCCAAAGCAATGGCGTCCACTATCCAGCTTCCCACCATAACAGACAAAGGGCTGGTCTGAGGTCCCAAAACACTGCGTTCTGTCTACATAAGCGCGGGGGGCACGTACAGGACAGAGTAAGGCTGGGTCTGCCTCCTCCAGGGGGAGAACGAGTTCGGAGAAACAGGTCCGGGTGGGCCAGTGCGGCGCGACCAAAATGACCCTTAATCTGACCCCTAAAATGAATCTCCCTCACTCCCTTGGGTCCGGCGACTCATGTGTCTATGGGAGCGTGGAGTCCCTCCTCGCTCCTTTCCTGGACCCACGAGAACACCACCGTGCATGCTCTGGAAAAGAGGCCAGTCTCTCAAGTAGAGGTGCGCTCAGCATTTAACAGCAGTGGTGATGAGGCTTCATTACTCATAGTGTGCCTCATCACGCACCGCCAATTCTCCTTGCTTCAGTGCCCCTCCTCTCTAATCACATCCACTCCAGTTGGAAGGCTAATGGGTGAAGGGAAATGATGGCCTGTCAGGAAGCGTTCGTCCAGCCTTCTCAAGCCCACAAGCCAGATCCAATCTAGTTGTGGTGTGTGTCATGACGTCCAACAGTATGTGGGGCCGGCAGGCTGGGAGAATTCAGTACATTATACTATCTTGTTATCTTGCCATCTGCTGGATCACATCATGATCGAGCAGATCGCTCCAACCTACGACTGAGGAGCACAATGTAAACTTCTCCCAGAGGGCACATCCAGAGACCTCAAGCACTGAGCACACGTGCTCATCGCCCAAGCTTTGAATGCACAGCTCGAATTCATTATAGATTCACCCCCACTACGTGCTAGCTAATCAAACCATAGCTGTCAACATTGAACATTGAAAATAAGGGAGTTTTCCCGGAATCCATCCCCAAAATAAGAGATTTTTTTTTTTTGCACGATTCTTACCCACAAACTTTAAAAATAAAGCACTAATCCTTAAAAGTCTAGAGTTCATAACTAACGTAAGCCATATGTGAGAGAGAAAGAGACAGTGTCATTTAAAGAAAAAAAAATCTACATTTGGATTAGCGGTGTGTTGCTCTTGCATTTGGACAACAATTTCTACTGTTAGCCTATCACACATCTTCTAAAATCCGCAAAATAGGGAAGTGGGCTGTCTGTTTACTTCAATTACATTTACACATTTTGTGTAGCTTTAAAGAGCCTATTTAGCCTGATGGTGGACCATCACTCAGAAGACACACTATCCTATCTTTATATCCTCCTGAGGCCCAGAACGGTTTTTTTTTTCTAGTTTTTTCTTCTTCTTCATGTAATCACATTGTTAAGAGCATAAGAAACTGAAAATCGATTTATAATAATTATTATTTGTTTAAATTACATTGATATCTGAATTTATGTAAAAACCTAGACTTTCAAACATCAAAATGTAATTTATTAATATGTATTCGAGTACAAAATGACATACAGCTAGTCTAAACATGTAGTTTCCTATTTTTTATTTATTTTTTTGCCTGGAAACGCAAAGAAATTCCAGGCAAAAAACACGCTTGCCTGTCGCGTGAAAAATAGGCGTCAGTTCTATTTCTAGCATGCACGCGTTTTCTGGAGACGTGCGTGTCACGCAGGCAGCGTGCAAGCTCTAATCTGTTAACATGGGAGCCGAAATAAAAACGTACACGCCACGCAGCCAGTGTGTCTCCGGCCAGTGCGCGCGGCACCGCATCCGAGGATAAACGACTTCAAGCCGAATCTGTCCGAGCTCGTACGTCTCACACAAAAATACGGGATATTTTACGGGAAAATACTAAAACGGGAAGACAGCGGGAAAAGAGCTAAAATACGTGAGAAACCCGGAAAAAACGGGAGGGTTGACAGCTATGAATCAAACGGCTCCTGAAGACAAAAAAGCTGATGATGTGCATCACTTACCACTAATGACGTCAAGGGCTGTCGCAAGACAATCAAATTGGAGTGTGTTCACTCATGCTTAACACGCCAGTTACACTGATGCCATTCTTATAGCATTGATCCAAAACGCAGTGTTATTCCACTTCAAAAGGGAACTGACAAAGTGACTCCAATGACATTTATAATAGCCATTTAAACTGTTATTCACTAATAATTTTCCCCTCCAGTGGGCATTGGTCATTGACTTTCATTGAATTCCAGAATGTATTGTAAAGAATGTAAAGAAAAATGTATTTATTCATGTTCATTCCAATATGGGAAGGGGAAGAAATGACTTAAATTTCAATGACAGGCTTCAAAATGCTAGGAATATGTTGCACGAGAAATACTTTTATGATATTTTTATGGTGCTTGTTTTGTCATTTTGGAGCTTGACAGGCCCAGTCCTCATTCACTTATGGCTATTGGAATGAGCAACCAGGATATTCATGTTTCATTCGTGATTTTGTGTTCCACTGAAGAAATTCAGACAGATTTGGAACAAATTATTTTCATTTATATGTGAATTAATTCTTTAACTAACCCACTTTCCTTTTACCAGAGAAGCTAGCCAGAGTGCAATACCCTAGTACAAACTCTTTCTTCAGACCGGATCTAAACTTTGAGAACACCAGTGAAAGAGAACAAGAGGTATGTATGCATTTGTTTGACTCATACACAAATTGTTATTTGTACTAATGGAAGCCCAAAGAGCATATGGGTTACACTGTAAAAAAAATACTTTCATGATTGGTAATCACAATATTTTTTCTTTTGTCAAATCAACTTAGATCATTTATGTAGTTCAGATAATATAATATTTTGAGTTTCTGACGATTAAATCAATCTCCTTCATTGTATTAACAAAATTTTTCCAGTTCAATGAACTAAAAAATTTTAAGGCAACCATATTACTTATTTTTTTAAGTTAAACCAACAATATTTTTTTTTTACAGTGTATTGACATGAAAGGTTCCATGTTCTTTGGTGTGACATGTTATACTTCACTAAAACTACGGGACTTGTCAAAAGTTTGAAAACATTACAAAATATATATGTTTTTGAAAGAAGTCTCCTATGTTCAAGGCTGTATTTATTTAATCAAAAATACAGTAAAAACAGTATTATTGTGAAATATGATTACAATTTAAAAAAAAATTTAATCAATTTCTGTGATGCAATGTTGAATGGACTCCAGTCTTCAGTGTCACATGATGATACTTCAGAAATCATTCTAATATGGTGATTTGGTGCTCAAGAAACTATTATTAATATTAACAATGTTGAAAACAGTTTTTAAAAAAGAGAAATTAATACTTTTATTAATCAAGGATGCATTAAATTGATCAAAAGTGACAGTGAAGACATTTACAATGTTAAAAAAGATTTCTAATTAATAAATGTTTTAATAAATGCAAATAAATTCTGTTCATTGAAAGTATCACAATTTTCACAAAAAAGTTAAGCAGCACAACAGTTTCAACATTGATTATAATAGTAAATGTTACCTGAGCACCAAAACAGCAAATAGTTCTTTTAATTCTTAATTTGTTCTTTTGTTTTACGGCATTATTGATTAAATAAATGCAGTCATGTTGAGCATAAGAGATTTCTTTAAAAACATAAAAAATTGTGGTAACACTTTACAATACGGGTGCACTAATAAGCGCTTAACTAATGCACAGATAATACTGAATTAATGTGTAACTAATGATTATTTAAGCTATTCATTAATGATTACCACATTAGGAACTAATTAACATGCTGTAAGGTTAATGTATGAGTTCATACATAAATTGTTATTAATTATTTATGTAATTATGGATTAATTCCATAATAACTCATTTTTTAACTAATAGCGTTAATTAATATGTTAATTGCCAGAATGAGCCAAAGCCTTGTATTTCAACTTCCAGATAATATGACAGGTACACTAATATGCATTGATATATGATTACTTACTTCATTGTTAGTGCAATTCCATGTGCAAATTACTACAATTACTAAATGACTAGTTAATAATGATGTGCCCCAACAAGTAAAGTCATAACATAAGGATACCTTTGCAAATCATTAGCTAATGATTAATTAAAGCAGATAACTGGAAGTTGAAGTGCATAGCTTTGACTAATTGTGGTAACTAACACATTAATTTACACTATTAGTTAATAAAATATGTTATTAATAAATCCATACACAATGACACATTGAATTAATAGCAATTCATGTATTACTTAATCTATTAATCATATAGACCCTTTATTAGTTGCTGATGCAGTAATCATTAATTAATGGTTTAGTTCTTCATGAGTTACACATTAACCCATGATTATCTGTGCATTAGTTAAGTATGAATTAATGCATATTAGTGCATCCGTATTGACAAAATTTTTATTTAAAAAGTACGTTTTGCTTAAGTTGGCTCTTTACCCAGTAATCACTTTCTCCAGGTGTGCATGCTGATCAGAAATTGTTGGGACGAGGACCCAGACAGAAGACCAGACTTCAAAAAGATAGAAATCACTCTATGGAAGATTGTCAGGTCACTTTTAAATGCTTTTGTTCAACATTGAGAAATCTTAGATGACTGGTAGACAATTAAATAAAACCATTAGCATGCATGATGACCATCTGAAAATCTGAATCAAAGGAGTCATGATTGTAATCTCTATAATACATGATTTTCTGATTCGTTTATGAATAGTCTGGACAACCAGGAACATGAGAGCTACATGGAGAATCTGATCCGCCGGCTGCAGATGTATTCCCGTAACCTGGAGCGGTTGGTTGAGGAACGCACAGCTCTGTACAAGGCTGAGAGAGACAGAGCGGACCGCCTAAACTTCATGCTTCTGCCTGGGTCTGAACACAACAAACAGAAAAACATCATTATTAGATATGCACATTGATTATTGGCCAGTATTAATAAATATTGAATGTACTAATTTACCTTGCTGTCATTTAGCAAGTCACCATGAAATCAAAATTGACAAAATTCTTCTCTGTTCTCTTCTCTTCTCTTCTCTGATGAATTTAACATTAGATCACAGCAATAGTAAACCACAGTCATCCAATCAATGATTTTATGATGCCTAAATGCATTTCTAGCATTTAAAAACTAGATTTTTTTCTTTTTGTTTAAACAAAAGTGTACAGACCATTTGTATCATTACTGCAAGTAATTAAATCATTAACACATGTTTTTTTTGCAGACCAGTTGTGCGCTCTCTGAAGGAAACGGGAAAAGTGGAGCCTGAGCTCTTTGACGAAGTCACCATCTACTTCAGTGATATTGTGGGATTCACCACACTGTGCCACTTCAGCACACCTATGGAGGTGGTGGACATGCTCAATGACATTTACAAAAACTTCGACAGCATCCTTGACAATCACGATGTCTATAAGGTATTTCAATTCATATAGTACCCAGTATCATAGATACTGGGCCTTTTACAATGCCTCAGTAATTCAAGGCGATGTGTCTGTGTGTCTATTTCAGGTAGAGACGATTGGTGATGCATACATGGTGGTGTCTGGTCTTCCTCGACGCAATGGGAACAGGCATGCAATGGATATCTGCTTCATGGCACTGGACATCTTGGCCTTCATGGGCACATTCCAGTTGCGCCATCTCCCTGGGGTGCCCGTATGGATTCGCATTGGTGTGCATTCAGGTAACGGCCATACATTGTACTCTGCTCAACAGTGCGGCCTTATAAACTGTTAGATTCAAGTTTTCAAGTATTGCAGAGGACATTTGCACCGCTTTTGCACCGGAGGAACCTTTTTATAGTTCCTAGAGTATCAGAATTTAGGCGAGTACACACCGATTTTAGTTCTAGGAACTCCTTTTGGAGGAACTAATTTAGCTCCTACTTCAGAGTAGGGTCTAAACCAGCACTACAGAAACTACCGGTGACGTCAATGTACGCTGATTGACTGAACGCACGCGAAACACCATGCACCCGCCATTGAAAAAATAGCTCTGTAAGCACACAGATTATAGCCTTTTTTACTCCAGAAATTACCTCTATGAACATGAAAACAGTGATAGATGGGCCTCTTAACCTTTATGCCAAAGAGAAAATCCAACGCAACTTTGAGGGGACCAAGCCAAACCTGATTATGTACATTATTTCTGCTCAGCTAGCAGCACTGGGCGGCATACATTAATACATTTTATATACTGTCTACTTTCTATGTGAAACACTTTCATTTTCTCATATTATACATTGCAACATCACCTCTTTTCTTCAGTGGTTCGAAAAAGTAATCGGTCTCTCCAAACCACTCTTTTCTGCGAGCCTACTCTGCTCTGATTGGTCAGATGGCCCAGTCTGTTGTGATTGGTCTACTGCATACAGCATGTGTTGGAAATGAAATATCATTACCATATTTGAATTTCAGCTCTGAGGCTTCCTCAGCACTAGTATACACAGTGATAAGAACAGTAATGATGGTGTCAATTGAACCCGAGTACTCATCATTTGGATGTACAGTATATGCAAAGGGGCCAGTGCAGGAAGTAAGACTGGATTTACTAAGTTGTTTCAGGCCGTTCAGATATTTTGCAAGACAATAATTTAATTTATCATGCATTTTGACCTTTGAAACTTTGCAGACCTTTTACGCTCACAAACAGCAATATAACACACTGCATGAAAGGTCATAACCGAAAAAATTGTTTTATGAACAATGTTCGGGAGGAACAAGTTCAATGATCTTTCCAATCAGCACAAGATGAGGCCTATATATATATATATATATATATATATATATATATGCAGCCGACCCGACTCCTCACTCATGGCTGTTTCCTATCACAACCAGGGATACGGGGGGAGTACTCTGGGTTCGGGCCAAAACACAGATTTCTGAGCCCTCTCTTCTGACATCAACCGAAATAAACATTCTCTTTTACTTGATCTGTGCTGAAGTGTTAACTCGAGAAATGCCATGGTCACAGAAAGGGTGGAAAATGATTGTAAAAAAACAAATTCATTGTTTTTTGGTGGAAAAAAATAAGTAGATAAGTAGGATAAATATTTGAAACAATACAAAAATATACAATATAACCCCTTAGCTTGTATTTTTTATGTTGCATGTGCACAGGGCCCTGTGCTGCTGGTGTAGTGGGAATTAAGATGCCCAGATACTGCCTGTTTGGAGACACTGTGAACACGGCATCTCGTATGGAGTCCACAGGTCTTCGTGAGTAGTGCTTCCTTTCAAAACCTATACTCAAAACGCTCAACATTGATAATAAAAATATTTTTTTCTTGAGCACCAAATCAGAGTGATTTCCGAAGGATCATGTGACACTGCACTGATTCTGAAGCAATGGCTGCTGAAAATTCAGCTTTGCCACATCAAAGGAATAACAAAGGAATATTGCTGTTTTTACTGTACTTTCAGTCAAATAAATTTAGCCTTGGTCAGCATAAGAAACTTCTTTTAAAAACATTATAAACCTTTTACCAAAATTTTTAACGGTACTGTAAATCAGTTCACTAGATTTCCCCAACTAAAGCATTATGAGTAATCCAACTGTTTAATCTGTATTTTATTCTATATTCATCTCCTCACCCCAGCACTACGAATCCATGTGAGTCAGTCGACTATCAACATTCTCCAGCGCACAGACTGCAAGTTTGAGTATGAAAAGAGAGGAGAAACTTACTTAAAGGTATTGATTACACGAACATTCTTTTAATAATTGTTCTCATCAGTGTTATTTTAGTATTATATATACATATATATATATATATATATGAAGAGTTCAGATGCAAAAGCCTCTAAATGCCATTTGGAATTTTCTTCTTTAATGATGATTTTTTATCAAACTTGTATATTTAAGTTCAGTAATTTCACTTAAATGGCAATGATAATTACCTATTAATTGTTATTTAAGTAAAATTACTGAACTTAAATATACAAGTTTGATAAAAATCATCATTAAAGAAGAAAATTTCAAATGGCATTTAGAGGCTTTTGCATCTGAACTCTTCATATACTATTATAGCATTTATGAGTTTTTTTTTTATTAGATATTTTTATTTAAGACTTTTTCATCTAATATTTATATTTTTTATTTCATGTGGATTTCGCTGAATGAAAATGATTTGTAATAGTTTTAGTTACAATAACGGCACTGGTCTTCATATACCCTTGCAGGGTAAAGGAAAAGAGACAACATACTGGTTGACGGGAGTTACAGGGAAAAATTATAATCTGCCAACGCCTCCAACAGCGTGAGTTTCACATTTTATGATCCTTACTGTTCCAAATAACCAGTCTGTGAAGTACTTTAAAGGAGCCGTATGCAAGATTGTGGCCAAAACTGGTACTGCACTTCACTTTCAAATGACTGTAGAGCGGTGTATCCCCTCCCCCCTGACTCGAGGTTGCCAGATATGCTGCAGGATCCAACATTTTTTATCCGACACGTATGTAGCTGTAGATTTGGTAACTAGAGCAGAGCTGGCAACCCGAATGCTGCAACACTACCGACTCCGTGATTGGTAGATCGGTGGAGGGTGGAGCATCAGAACAAAACACAACATGACAACATCAACATCAGTTCACTTTTTAAATGACATATCACTGACAACAGTAGTCCAGCCAGGATATTAAAGTATTTGAAATGAACATGATTTCTTAATGTCTAGTGACATATCAGGGCCATTTTTGGATTATTTGAAATACATTTCTTACATACAGCTCCTTTAAAAAAAATGTAATTATTGTGAACTGTCCTCCTGGCAGGGAAAACTTCCAGAGTCTGCAGCAGGACCTCTATGAAATGATAAAGGTGTGCCTGGAGAAGAGGCCCTGCAGCTTGTGGAAGAGAAAAACCCTGTCAGCACGTCACAGGAAGCCCATGGTGGAATTGGAGTGCACAGAACTGCCAGAGTATCTCCACCTGGCCACAGGTGACAGTCTAAGCACAAACCTGTAACCCCAACCCTGAACATGACACTAGCACAGCAACTGGACCAAAAGCCTGATGAAATCACTGCAAAATGTAAATACTGTGTATTATTTTTCAAAAAGCATGTATACTTAGTGTTATTGCATTATCTAACATAGTTGTTAAGTGTTGTAGATCTCAGCTTAGGTTTTAGCATGAGAGTGTAACAATATTTTACAGGACAGATATTTAATTTTCAGCTAAACAATAATATAATAAACTCCACACACATTTGAAAAAGAAACAAAACTTTATTTCAATTACTTTGATAACTATTTACACAATAATGCTGCTTGGACATCTACAGTAATTCATGATTGTTTTCTGCGCTAAAAGATATTCTCTTGGTTGAAGAGACTAATTCAATTAACCCAATATTCTTTGGCATACATACACGACTAAGGGTCTGTGCCCAGTTTCAACAAAACCTGTCAAGTAGAGAAAACCATTAATAATTATTACTTAACATCTTCTTAACTTGAGGAGTTTTTTTTTCAACAGGCTGTGAATCAACGCTATTTGATTATGCAATATGTAATAATTAAAGTACATAATTATACATAAAAAAACTAAATAAATAACAACAAAATTAAATTTTACCTTTCACACCATGAAAACAAAGCCACAACCCATATTTTATAAATAAATTATATGTAAGAGCTCAGTGGAAGTGTGGTATTCAAACTGCTTATAATGTAGATATGAATTCAAGAAATTGTCAAGAAATGTTACACAAATGTAACAAAAATATAATGTGTACAGACTAAAAATCAACGTAAACCAAAACATTACCTGTGCCCTGACAAGTAATCTGACATTTAATAGAATAAATTAAATACAGATGGATGGCACAGTATGATTATAAAAAATACAAGGCCATACAAAAATGAGGCAAATAACAAATAAAAGATCAAAGTTGAAAACTAAAACATACTTCTGAAATTCAAAGCAGTGAGAAGATTTGTTTAACACACCAGTACAAAGTTTAAAGAGATTATTATACTGTACTGAACTGACATGCTAATATGATATGTGTCGCATTAAAACTTCTGCTGCTTCTACATCAGTTGCATCTACACACGTCGATGGAATTTATTTCATATAATTCACTATTCTCTGTCTAGACACAAGGACTGTTATTATGCTCACAGTTTTAGAACATAGCAGCAGCCAATGGAGACAGAATAAGAATCGATTGACCCAGTAACACACTGAGCTACAAAACGGTTTACAAATGCCTCTTTCCTCTGTATAAATGTAATAATAATAATAGGTCATGTTGCTATAACAAACCAATTGAATGTTTGTTTACACAAGAAAAAAAACAAAACAATTTCAAGTCAAGTTTCGACTGATAATGCTGTCATCAAACATGAACTCATCTAAATATACAGTGGCCCCAAAAAAATATCTGAACACTTAAGTCACATTTAAAAATATTTTTAAAATGGTTTCACTGCATTAAGCAGAGAATATGTGGCATCTCCAAACATATGAAAAATGAAATTGAATCTCTGAAACTGGTTGTGGATGTAATATGAATGTATCCAAGTGTTCAATCAGAATGACCACAAAAACCTATCAGACATTTTCCTGTCAAATGTTTTGCTTGAAAAGTGTGCTTTAAAATAAAAGCCACTTGGTTTGCTATTCTGTCATATAATGCAATGGCATTTATGCTCTGTTAACATGGCTTAAGCATCCAAATGTGTTTAGGGGCACCTTATCCATTCAAATTTGTGCAAAACTACAGCATATTTAATAAACAAGCTTAGAGCATGCAAATCAGCCCACCGCACACACACAAATCCCAATGTGAATTTGCACGGCTCTAGGCTAAAGAGAGCAAAAGGTGCTCGATAATTTGTTGAATTGAGGCGTGTTGTTTGGAACGATTTTGATTGCCAGGCTAGTTCCTTTAAAATAAATCTATCCTTCACACAAACACATTAAAGGGTTATCCAAAAATGAAAATTAAGTCATTAATTACTCACCCCCATGCAAATATTTCATGTGCCTAAAGCGGCTCAATTATAAGTTTATCAAGTGACGAGACTACTTTTTGTGCGAAAAAAACATAAATAACGACTTAATTCGACTATTCTATTACTTCCTTATGGGCGCATGCGCGAGAACTGAGACGAGGACGTTCTCCTTCTACTACTTTTTGTTACCGGCTGCTCCGCTTAGGAGTTTTACCGCCCCCTACCGATGATGATCCATATATAAGACGCTCCGTATTATAAGGAACACTGTCGTTTTTTGAGAAGATTAAAGGCTTTTAAGTGCACCTTGTAGTGCGGAAAATACGCTAATTGAAAAGCGTATGTACAGCGCGCATCTTCCTCTGCTTGTAAACAGAAAGTTTTGCGCTTCCAGCTATATCAGCACATCATCTTATACGGTAGGGGGCGGTAAAACTCCTAAGCGGAGCAGCCGGTAACAAAAAGTAGACGAATGAGAACGTCCTCGTCTCAGTTCTCGCGCATGCGCCCATAAGGAAGTAATAGAATAGTCGAATTAAGTCGTTATTTATGTTTTTTTCGCACAAAAAGTAGTCTCGTCACTTGATAAACTTATAATTGAGCCGCTGTAGGCACATGGAATATTTAAACCTTTTCTTTAATGACTTTATGGGCCGTCAAGAGCCAGTCCCTTAGGCATTCTATGTAGGACTGATCCAGCTCTCAGATTCAATCAAAAATGTCTTTATTTGTGTTCCGAAGATGAACGAAGGTCTTACGGGGTTGGAACAGCATGGGGGTGAGTAATTAATGACTTAATTTTCATTTTTGGGCGAACTAACCCTTTAACAAGTGACACAGTATCATAATCCAGCACATTAGCTGAATGAACAAAACTAACTTCATTTTAAGTAAACTGTGCCCTGGACCTATTAGTTTTTTTCTGAATTGCTAAAACACTAAACCCCATTCTCTGAACCAAATTCTCAATACTCTAAACCAATTTGTCAAATAAATCACTCTTTCTGTAAAACATTAAACAAGTTCAGGTGGTTAAAACGCTGTTTACAAATCTCATGCACTCTTTTTTCAAAACTCAAAACACATTCTGCACTGTGTTGCAAAATGCTAAACACAACTGCAACACAGTCCTCACCGTTTACACACAACGACTCAAAATTGTTCACACTTATTTCTAATGATGTGACCCAACCAACTCTACATAATACAAGTCAGTTCAGAGTCAGTCCCACAATTTACTCAAAATGATGGAGAGACAGAGGAGTATGTGTAAGAGGTACTGAACAAGCAGGAAGAGGATGAGGACGAGGAAGAACAGGTGTGTATAGTGTTGTCGAGGCTGGATCTGCTTCAGGGTTTTTCCCTTTACCTCAGAGATGACATAGTCTGAGATGTGGAGAAACTCCTCCGGTCGGACCAAAATGAAGACATGATGCTGAAGCAGAATCAGTCTCTCTCACTGACCTCTTCTGAGTGTACTTTACTGTAACATGCTTTTCATTGAGGTTTTTTACGGTGACATTTTTGGCTTTTGTAGTTGGGTCGCTGTATTTTCACAGTATGCAAGTGGTGAATATACAGACATTCGATATGCCTACTATTAAACATTCAGTACAATACACTTGCAGTGGATACAGTAAAATAATTTATTCACCTTATTACTGTAAATTGTCATTATACTTTTTTTTTACATATTTGCAAAATGAGTTTATTTAGTTACAATATACTTTTTTTCAGTAACTGCATGCTTTGGATTCTGTGTTCTTCATTTTTTTATGTAGTGCTGTAGTGTTTATAATTTTGAATTGCTGTATGTATGATCTGAGAGCATTGTTTGATTTTGAGCACAGAAAAAATGATTTTGAGGCAATTGTTTGAGGAAAATGTGGTTTTGTGTATAAGGTTTTGAGAAAGTGAGTGATGGTTTCAAGAAATGTGTTTTAGCAATTCAGAAAAACTGTAAAAATCCACGTACAGCATACAAACGCAACCAGAATTCTCCCGAGCCCTGTAATATCCCAATGACCTCTAATGACACCGTGACCTTCTAACCGGTGCCAACAACTGTCAAAATGAACTTTAACAGACTGTAAATTTGGGTAAAGTGCACTGCTGGTGGTCTGCCAGGGTGACACTGCTGGCTATTTACCCACAACTGATGCTGGATGGAACAGGACACGACCCTTCGCCCTTCTTCTGCTATAGCAAATGTGCAAAACCTAAACACTAAATACTCAATAACTGATTACAGTCTCACATTGCCAGACTAAAGCCCCGGTCACACCAAGAACGATAACTATAAAGATATAGTTCTGTAAATCGTTCTCAATATTAAAGAATAGCAGAGTTCACACCACAGCTATATCGATAACAGCACAGAGAAACGATATCGTTGGAATCACTTTCAGAAAGATTTTATCTAGCTGATGAATGACAGCCAATCAGAATCCATCCAGCTCGAACATTTAAAGTGACAGAGAAGCCGATCTCAGAACGATGCTAATATAGCTATCGTTATAGTAATCTTTCTTGGTGTGAAGAGGCCTTAAGTCTTTTAGTTAGTGTTTAAATGCATTGTATTTACATACATTACTATAACTATGTTGCACCATGTACTAAGATAGTAATTGTGATCTTTTCTTAACACCTCAGGTGCTTTTTGCTTTTAGGATTTCAATTCATTTGTTTTTGCTGCTGGTTGTGAAGTCCCCCACTAATACCCGTTGTTCGAGTCAACAAATCTAAAAAAGTCTGGCTATAAAAACAGCATCATGAGCATATGGAAAAAACATGGATATCTAGAAAAATAAAATTCTTTGTATCCTACATCCGGGACCCATGGATCTGGAACAGCTGCAAAAGAGTTGGAAAACATATTATGGTCACAGAAATACACTAGTGTTCAAAAGTTTGGGGTCAGTATGATTTCTTTGGAAGAAATTTGTACTTTTTTTCCTGCACGGATGCATTAATTTGATCAAAAGTTAAGGCCATTTATAATATTACAGAAGATTGTTATCCTCTTTTGAACCTGATAACAAATGTGTCAATTCCCACAAAAATATTAAGCAGCACAAAAGATTTAAACATTAATAATAAGAAGAAATGTTACTTGAGCAGCAAATCAACATATTAGAATGATTTCTGAAGGATCATGTGACACTGAAGACCAATACATTTTAGCCTGAGGATAAGCAAGAGTTTTTTTTTTTTTTTAAACATTAAAAAATATATTACAGACCCTGGAACTTCTGAACAGTGGTGTATAATAACTAAAGAAATATAGAATAACTAGTAACTTTGGATATGGATAGTGTAGAGTGAGAAATATGCCTCCTTGTATGTTTCATGTAATTATGACAAATACGAAGATAATTTTTGCTGGAGATGTGGATATGGGTGGAAATGGCAGTGACTCAATGGCAGTTTATGGAGCAGACGCTGTGCTAAATATTGAAGTCATTTGGTTGAGTCATTCGTTCGCCATTTCTGGTCAAGTGACCTGTGCTAAAAAAATCCAATTTTTAAGATATATGTATCCAAGTTTATATTCAAAGTTCAGTACCGCACAATAGTTTGTCTGGACACTAAGTGAATTATGTTTACATAGGAAATAGATTCTTATGAGGGAAAATCATGCTTGGGAGTTGCAAGGAGGCAAAAGCTATTGCATTTCACTGCACTGTACTCATACAAGTCAAACTAGTTGGATAAATCCTCTTCAAACAACCTGTATCATAAGACTATTTTCACAGCCAAACAAACTAATATAGATTTATTGTTGTTTCTTTGTGCGCGTCTTATTTGGTGCACTGAAATGCAATTTACCAAAACCCTCAGACTGCTAGAATTTTGTACATCTACAACTAATACAACCAACATGACAGCATTTCCTCACCAATTCCTTTGACACAAGTTTCTGCTAATCTCTAATCCACTCATTGGGGGTGGCATTTCTTTCTCCCACTTCCTCCTCATCCTCCTCCTCCTCCTTCCTCGCTCCATCTTCCTCCTGTGTGTCCGAGGTCTAGTTGTGTTATGAGTGGACAACAGGGTGAACAGAAACCGGTGGGATCGTAGCACGACAGATGATGGCATACCAAAAAAAATAAAAAATGAAAAAGATTTATGAATTTGTGAAGAGTTGGTGTGGGAGGATCTCAAGGCTATTGATGTGAAATGAGATGAAAAGAAGCAGATTTTGTAGGTCGTAAGCATGTTTTTGAGAAATGTGTCAGTGGAACTGTGCTTTACGGTGTTTGTGAGATGACACGATCGAAAACGATGAGCCGTTACGTGTGTATGTATGCGTCTGTAGGTTCTCCAACCTTAGTCTTGTGGCTCTGCTCCGTCCCCAAACCCCCACCCGAGGTGTGCAGCTCTTTTGACACCACACACAGAAATTCAGCCTGGTCCTCTGTTCCATAGCTGTAAGATGAGCCAATGTTCACCATCTTGAAAAGCAAAGAACAGCCAAGAAAGAGAGAGATTTCTTAATGACAAGCACTTGAGATTTGAGGAAAGGGGAGAGGGCCATGAAGGAAAACATCAAGAAGGGTCTAATGCCTAGTCAGCTGTACCAAAAACTTCTTCATAGCATTCATTAGAGATAATTTAGGGTGGTCAACTAGTCAAGTTGGCACGCTGATCGTGTCTTGTGCTTTATGGATGCATACTTTTTGTGTGAACCAATTATTTTGTGCAATATAGGATAATAGATACTTAGCCTGGATTTTTCTTTAAATGTTGAACTGGATTTATGTACGATATTGAAAGTTGCATTGAACTGAATTGTTACTCATGTCTTGCATTGTTTTTTAGTGTCTCACACCATGAGCATTACTGTCTAAATTGGTATTCACCCTAAACTGGTATTGGGATAGTTCACCCAAAAATCATTTACTCACCCTCATGTCATTTCAAACCTGTATGGCTTTCTTTCTTGTGTGGAGCATTTTTTTGTTGTGTGGAGCATTTTTTTGTGATAGATAGATAGATAGATAGATAGATAGATAGATAGATAGATAGATAGATAGATAGATAGATAGATAGATAGATAGATAGATAGATAGATATGTCTATAAAATGGAAGTCAATAGGCACCAATGTTGTTTGGTTACCAATGTTCTTCAAAATATCTTCTTTTGTGTTTTTACAGAAGAATGAATACAGGTTTGGAATGAAATGAGCTATTGAACTATTCCTTTAAGAAACGTATCTTATTGGTGTAATGGTAACGTATCTTATTGGTCTTAATCATTCTTATTTTGTTAGAATATAGTTTTCCACTTTTCAAAATATCATTAGGGATGTGCAAAACTACATGCCGCCAAAGCTGGAATATCATATAGTAGAGCCCGACCGATAAAGGATTTTGAAGGCCGATACCAATACAAATATTTTTGGTTTTAAAATCCGATATTCCGATATATCGGCCGATGTTTTCTTTCTTTCTTTATTTATTTATTTTAAACTGGACATGATAGTCACAAATTTTGTCATGCTTATTTGAGTTAAGAGAACTGATGTTATTCAAGCAATGTATGTATCGTGCCCAACTCAACGAGGTTTGCCAACAGGAACGGTGTAGAGTGCCCTCTGGTGGACAAACTATACAACATTTCAAACTCATGACATGGTTCAAGCGTGTTTCGTCCGTTTTTATTTTATTTTTGAAATATGCATTTATTGGCCATTATAACTGCCGATACCGATAGTTTGGAAAATGCCTAATATCGGCCGATAATATCGGTCTGGCTATCATATAGTTTGTCATTTTTCAACAACGCATAATGATTAAGAGGTTTTGGTGCAACTGACCACGTAAAATCCAGATGGATGCACATGGCAAAAGTTTAATTTCACACTTTAGCTATGCTACTGGACTCTGAATCTGAGGGGAGAATTGAACACTGGGAAAATTAGGATCAGGGGAAGGGAAATCAACTCAGTGTCAGTCCAACCCACAGTCCAGAGCAGTCCGGGGCGGGGTTTTCGGCAGGCGCGCACGCTGACCTGCTCAAACTTCCAGCCGTCCGACATGGTGGACACCATCTGGGTCAGCTCCTCTTCCTGACACTGCAACACCCGATACACGTGCTTTGGTGGTACCTGCTGTGTGAGAGACAGAGGGAGAGGATGAAGACTGGTGAAGAGTAAAAAAAGAAATGTGGTGGGTAGTGGAGGAGAATAGCAAAAAAGGCAAGTATGGAAAGAAGAGCGAGAGTGGGTGGGAAACTGACGGCTGTTGCATAAGCACGCAAATATAGACACAAATGTACAGTAGAAACTGAGACGGACAGAAATATAGTGCGGAGAAGGTGATGAAGCTGAAAACTAATGGAAAAAAAAAAACAATGGCCTTTTATTTCCAAAAAATTAAGCAACATGGGAGGCATTGATAAAACACCCTGCTCATTACTTGTGTAGCCTTGGAGTCTCGCTCAAGAATCCTTTCTTTGATTAATTTAATCAGCGGTGTGATGTTGTAGAACTCTGCTTCCTCCAAGACACCTGACGGCACAGACACACTTCATTTTTACAATTTTTTCATACAGTTATGTGTTTTGACTAGATATGCACCGATATTGAAATGATAAATATTAAAAAATTCAACACCTAAAACTAAAAATTGTTGTAAATACTGTGAATAAAGGCAAAGATTACATTTAACAGTGCTATTATATTAGTGTTTTTAAATATTAAATAAATGAAAAAACAATCTAAATGTAAAAAATAGGGGAAACGACCATATACAATAAAATATCGACTAATAAAAACAGACAAAAACAGAACTAAAAGTGTAATGCAAACAAATCCATTACAGTAAATTGTAATGTAGACATGCATTTTCTGTAAAGCTGCATTGAAACAATATGTGTATTGTGAAAAGCGCTATACAAATAAATGTGAATTGAATTCAAAAGCATTAATACATACTACTATATGACATTAATAATACTAAAATAGCACAACTGAATAATATCGATAAATAAAAATCTCTAATACTGGGTGATAATCATATGGTACCAGTGCATCAATAGTTATGCGTTAATATTAAACTATATTATTATAATATTCAAATTATAGTATTAAAATTGTATTACCATAAATTTGAAAATGCATAGTCCGACAAGTGACAACAGTTCTGAGAATAAATGAACAGACCTTCTTCTGCCAACTCCTTGTTATAAACCAGCTTCCCATGTCGCAGATAGTTGAGTATGGGACCAAAATAGGTGGGATCTCGGTCAATCACATAAGCGCCAGTTTCATCCTACACAAACACATCACAGGTCTCTCAGTTTAATAATTAAATACAATGTGGTATTTACTTGTGTAAGTACAATATCATTAAATATGCAACATATAATAATATTTATTAATGATGTATATAATATTTTACCAATATTAGATGTAGTTACCTTGCTAATATTTAATAATGTGGCAACTATTCCCTATGCAAATGTGACTAACTCTGTGCTAAAGCTGTTTAACTGCAGTGCAGGATGCACTGAACAGCACATCACCTCAGGGAATAAAATGTGACTTGGCACAAGAGAGGATGAACATTAAAGGAAAGGGCATGCGGAAAGTGGCAGTGAGCAGAGGTCACATTAGCATGGCCACGGTCATTGTCCCAGAATGGCTAAGGGTCTCCTCTTTGCAATGAATTACCCTGGGCCTACGAGCTCTATCGAGACACGACCTACGGAGTAGGGAACCATATAAGCTACATCATACCCTAGTACAAAATGCCCTACAGAGAGCATTACACAACTGAGCCCAGGGCAAGAGCACTCAAAAGGCACAAAGAGGAATCAGAGAACAAGGGATTGCATAGAAGCACATCAGGGTGAAAGAGGTAAAAAGAAAGAGGAAGATGTTGGCATAAAAGAAGGCTCAAGAAGACTAAATAGCAGCACTGCGAGGTTATAAAAGCAGCACTATAAGAGAAAGCAGAGGGCATAAATGAGATAACACAGCAGATTCACAACAATGACTTGAATAACACACCTACTAGAGCCCGACCGATAAAGGATTTTGAAGCCCGATACGATACAAATATTTATTGGTTTTAAAATCCGATATATCGGCTGATATTTTTTAAAAATTATTATTTCAGAAACGCGCAACAAATTGTAAAACATACATTTTCAATATAACAGGCCAAGGAGAGATGATACGTGTCATTGCTATAACTGTCACGCGCTATTAAAGAAATACTTCAGTCACATTGTGAAAAGTTAAAAGGACTACACTATACTAGCTAATTCCGCTTTACTCTCGGCTTATTTAACAGCAGCAAAACTGGACATGATAGTCACAAATTGTGTCATGCTTATTTGAGTTAAGAGAACTGATGGGGATGTTCTTTTAATTATTATTTTTTTTTGTTCTTTAATTATTATTCAAGCAATGTATGTCTCGTGACGTGACCAACTCAACGAGTGTTGCCAACAGGGACTGTGTAGAGTGCCCTCTGGTGGACAAACTATACAACTCCAACACTCATGACATGGTTCAAGCGTGTTTCCTCCTTTTTTATTTTATTTTTTAAAATATTCATTTATCGGCCATTATAACTGCCGATACCGATAGTTTGAAAAATGCCTAATATCGGCCGATAATGGCCTGCCGATATATCGGTCTGCCTCTAACACCTACACAACAAGCTAGATTTGATTCATTTGTACAAACATTTCTTTGCACAATTTTGGTGATATTCTGCTGTATTCAGTAAATTCCATATGTGACTGCATTCGCATCACAGAAATCATAGGGCTCTACATGGTATTACGTTAAAAAAGTTATTTATGTGGGTAATTTATTGTTATGTTATAAAGTTATAACCAATGTTTTTCAGTTAGTAGAGGTCCCCTCTAAAACTAGGGTTGAAGTTTTAATTGCTGTAAAGTGAAAACATGTGTGTTTGATATTATATCAAACCTATGGTTTTAACAAAAATACCACAGCAAAACAACTGGACTAATTTAAAACATTATTAAAGACTAGTTAACAGTAAATAACAAATAAGCAATAGCACAAATATATACAACTGGACAAAATTCAGAAACTGAAATCAAATGTAAAATAAGCATTTTCTTTTTATAAATACAATATTGTCAAGATATCAGTCAAGATCAGAGAGTCATTTTCTTTTTCTTTTGTTCTTTGATTAACAGTAATGACACAGACGGCGGCAGATTTATTAGGCTGCTGTCACTTTAAACCTTTATGGAGGCTCCAATATACTGTTACAAATGCGTTTTTTCTTCTTCTTCTTCTGTGTTTAGGAGGATATTTTGACATAATTTTGTGTGCATTTGTTAGTTCAAGCGCAAGAAGATGCGAAAGAGAACTCCATTTGGTATTCGTGCGCTAAATGAGATGTGGCTCTTAGTGCCGAATTGAGTTCTCTTTCGCATCTTCTTGAGCTTGAAAATCACATTAAAATGCACACACAGGAATCGATAATAGGAATCGAAATTTTAATTGTTTAAAGTATCGGACTACGGAATTGGAATCGAGTTTTAACTCCCAACCCTACTCCCACACTTTACATAGTGCTCTTTGAGGCCATTTGGATATGCAACAATTGTATCAGCTACACACCGCCGGTATGACGGTACATATTGTATATAATCTGCAATCAGTAAAAAGCAAAGTAAATTCTGCAATCATTTTGGGACTAACAGATGGACAACATGGACATGAACAACATTAGACTGCAAACTAATTATCACATACAGAGTTGCAAAAAGCATTTACAAATATTTATTTCCATTAGCAGCACGAAATCTCACAGATAATAGTAGCACAGAAATTAATTTACGCATGATAAGCAAACACACACACACACGTAAACAAATCCCATTTTCGAACCAGTAAGTGCAGAAGACAGCCACACAGTTCACATGACTAGACTTGACAGCAGCAGGCATGACAACACCTGCGCATGACTCCTTCAGTGAGTCAGAAGAGACAAGCTGTTGTCCCGCTCGGGATTTCACAAGAACACGAGAACGAACACAGGGGATTTTACACACAATACTACTGTATATGCCTTAAACACACTGAATTCAAATCAAACAAGTTCGTTATCTGTTCACACTCATCTTGCGTTAACGTTTAACTCAGCAGTTGCACAAGGAAGTGTAAGAACTACGTCCCGATAGGAAACTAACTGCATCCCATGGGAAATACCTGGTAGGCAAACAAAGAGCGTATTAATTTCAAAACAGAACCGCATAATAACCTGTGTCACATTAAGCATCACAGCAAGCAATAGGAAAGCCAAATTGACGATTTTTAACAGAACCAATTCTGGATCATGTTAAAAGCACAGTTTTTAGGGGATAGTTCACCCAAAAATTTAAATTCTATGAGTATTGGTAACCAAACAGTTTCGCTTCCCCTTGACGTCCATTGTATGGACCAAAAAAAAAATTAAATAAAAATAAATAAACTATAGACGTCAATATGTATGAAACTGTTTGGCTACCAATATTCTTTAAACATATATATATATATATATATATATATTAGGGCTGTGCAAAAATTAATTGCGATTAATCGCATCCAAAATAAAAGTCTGTGTTTACATAATATATTTGTGTGTGCTGTATATAATTATTTTGTCTATATAAATACAAACACATGCATGTATATATTTAAGAAAATGTGTTATTCATATATAAAATATTTATATTTATATAATATAGATTATGTATTTATATATATATATATATATATATATATATATATACAGAATTTAAGTGCAAATAATTCTTAAATATATACATACATGCATAGGTATTTATATATACAAAATAATTATATACAGCACGCACAAATATATTATGTAAACACAGACTTTTATTTTGGATGCGATTAATCGCAATTAATTTTTGCACAGCCCTAATATATATATATATATATATACACACCCAAACTCTTTTAAAGAGAAAAATGCATATGTAAACTAGCAATGAAGAACAGAGCAGTCCAGGAATAGAACAGAGAAGCCTCCATAGATATTTTAGTGCAGAGGGCTGGGAGTCGTCAAGGTGCCATGACTGTAATCTCATTAGAAGAGTGACATGAGCAGTGAAAGAGCACACAACACCACAGCGGCCCATAATAACTGAGCTGTGATGAGTGATCATCTGTGCCTCGTCATTCACTGTGCGGAAGTGTGGAATAAAAGGAGGAAATTTAAGAGGATAGCTTGGGAGGGGGTGGATACTGTGAAGGCAGAGTACCATCTGTTAAATACTTTTTGTATGCCTTAAGATTAAAAGACACATACAACACGCATTTAAATTTATATCGGTAAATCTCACCATATTTAACCCAAAAACCAAAAGACAGAAATTGAGAAATTATACTTTCTTAAAGACAATGAAGCTTAAAAATATATATATTTCAGAAAAATTATTATTATTTGCATTTTTTCCAATAACTAACATTAAATTTGATATGATAACTAACTAACCATAAATTACGATAAATTTAAAAAGAAACAGGCATTACTGTAAAGTGGGAAAAAAGCAAAAATGCATAAGGGTGAGGTCAGGGATTGGGACACTTTTGCTATTGAGAGGAATTGGAAAAAGTGTCCCAATCAACCTGAAATCACCATACTGTAAATTGTTACCATAGATGATGACCCATGAGAAGACATGGAACAATGTTAAAAACATAATTTGTATATGGCAAAAAAACAATACAATTCAAAATCATCCAGAGATTTCATATATTCCCCATCCATTGGCTTTTCTAATCACTGATTGTCATGCGTTTAAAATGTATACTAAAGGAGGTACCATATTGCAGGCGAGGTTGTAGGTATTATTGTAGGTCCCATTCTGCATGTGGTCATGTTACAAGTGTTTCTGTCAAGTGCTATTGGAAACACTAAAACAATTAGCCTATATTTGGCATCAAACTAGAATTACATGCAGTTTTATTAGATTTGGGCCTTCCAAGCAGACGCATAAAGACATCTGCCAACAGGAAATAATATGATATTTACCTTCGCTGCCAGAAGAAAACATTTTATTGAAGTGGGTCAGTGATAATAAGGCCCGCTTCACATAAGGGTTTGCATAAGGTGATATTTGCTCTGGTCCTGCCATGTGCTTTACATTCTGAAAAATCAGTTCTATAAGATATGGATGCTTTTCTTTGGAATACCTTAGGCTCATTTCCATTGGGTCATTTAACATGGAGTATCTTGACTTATACCCAAATCAAATCAAAATGTATTTCTGCACAATAAAACAACAAATAGTTGACCACTATGCTGTCCAAAACTTTGCTTGAAAAACTGTTTAGACAATGATGAGAGTATCAATAAAAATAATAAAAAACACTTATAGCCTAATAATAAAAAAAGCTTCATTATTTACATCCAAGGTATGACTTCACGAGCTGCAATACATTTAGGATGTACAGTACTGTACTGATGACCCCATCAAGAGGACTTCCCTCAACACAAAATCAGCTTCAGGAGGATCACATTATGTCATAAATTGAATCGTGCAGTAAAATTTGACTGGCTAATAATAACTGCGATGACGCTGTAATGCACAAACACTAGGGGTCCTGCATTAATAATCAACAACGTAGCACGCGCACATCCATCTGACTGAAGACCCCCGTCGCATCATTAATACACTTCAGCGCCCTAGTCATGCATTAACCTCACTCCAGTCCCTGCTGCCTTACCGTGTCCGAATGCAAGTCTTGCTGCTGGCACAGTCGGTACAGAAATGAAGTCTGTTCCTTTAGCAGCGTTTGTCGTGTTGTTAGAAACACCGTCCCACCGACGTTCAGACGGACCCATTTGCCGTTACTGCCTCCGGTGGTATTCACAGCTGAACCGTTTCCTATGATATTTTCAGAGCCACTGGATTCAACAGCTGTAGCCGTGGCTGTTGTGGCACCTTCGCTTCCCTCGTTGTCTTTGTTGTTGTTATTGTTGTTGTTATTATTGTTTAGATTGCCGTGTGTTGTTGCTGCTGAAAGGGATCCCGTTTCCGGTAAAGCCTGGGGCGCCGCCGTGTTTCCTTTGTCCTCCGTTGCCATTAGGGTGCACTACACTGAGGCTGGTCTGATGCGGACTGTCGGTGCGGCTCGGATGCTATGCTGTTCGGGTGCCGTTCTTCTATCTCCCACGGTGAAGCAAGCGGCGTGCTACTGTTTTTTTCCCTGTGTCATAGAAGTAGAATAAGCGCGGCAGTTGATTGGCTCGTATCCTGCGTTGTGTTCGCCCCGCCCACTTACCAGTTGATGCTCTTTTGACGCAGAAACCAGTGCAGAATCAGAATCTAGGATGAGGAATGCTTTTAGCCATTTTTAATTCTGCATTCTTAAAAATATTTAAGATTCTAGGACCTTAGTTAAATTTGTGACTTGCCCTTCGGTACATTTTCATTATTTTGATAACATGATTATTATCAGGTTTTACACAAACTTAGTTCAGCTCGAGTGGGACAAATCCATTATATTTTGTAACGAGCCTCAGCCTATAACAAAATATTTAAAATAATACTTCTAACGTTTATGCCTTTTTTAATGGTTTCCCATCATTTTTTACCATGTGGGTAGCTAGGCTATATATAACTAACAACATTTCACTGATAAAATATCACATCTAATTATGATGTAGATTCAAACTGTAAATTTAACATCTATTCAGCCTGTAACAAAGTATTCAGCTTGCGAGGACTTTAAGAAAACAGATTTATTATTATTATTTTTTTTTGATCAATTATTTATTTATTTTCTTACAATCATCATTTACACACTGGAGAGGGAAACAGTGAAAATGAAAAAGAAAACAAATTTATATAAATAATATTAAAATAATACTAGTTAATAGTTCAAATAAATTAAAATGATATAAACAATATTAAAATAATATTAAAGTACTCTCATAATTAAAAAAATGAATACAATTATTTGAATAAAATATATTTCTTTTTTATTCATTGCTAACTTTGTTCAAGCCTACTCAGTTTATTTTTTTTATTTTATTTTATTTCATTTTTTTACTACCGGCTGTTGAATGTTTGATTATGATTGGTTGACGGACATTCTAATTTGTGCTTTTTGGTAATATGTATCACTCATGACAGTATAGGCTTTGTCATGAACACAGATCTCATATTAGACAAGTTAGTAAAGCAACTTTTATTGCATAAACAAGTATTATGCATTTAATCTCACAAAAAGTATTGTGCGGTTAAAACGTACCTAATGACTTTGTAAAGCTACCTATAAATATCTGATGCAAAGTTGATTAAATCATTTTCGAGTCTTGCATCTGTTTAAACACTGTAGCAGACTGTCGACCTCTGGAACCAAAAAGAAGTGGCTGAATAGTGATGAATGAGAAGTTGTTGGTCTGAGGGAACCCCTGATGAGCTGTCCGATTGAAACAACTCCAAGAGAAAGGTGGTAGACCATCCTGAGTAGTGGGTCTGTTCACAGATTTGGCCAGAAACATCTGGACCATGTGGTAATCTGTTACCTAAATGGATTGGATGCAGCCTCCATTAGAATCGGATTTATGCTGGCTTTTATTTAAAGGAGAATATATTTTGCCCCTTTTTACAAGATGTAATATAAGTCTCATGTGTCAGAATGTGTCTGTGAAGTTTCAGCTCAAAATATCCCACAGATTATTTACTGTACCATGTTGTAAATGCCCATTTGGAAGGGAAAAAAAATGCAGTTTTTGTGCATGTATCTTTAAATGCAAATGACCTGCTACTCCCTGCTTTTCAGAAGAGGGCGGAGCCTTTACAGCTTGTCCCTTGGATACTCTGGCAAAAACGAAAACATTAATTTGGTTTTGATAATCATCTCTATCGCAGTCACGCTCATGTGACATTGCAGTTCTTTATCATTTAAAGCCATTTTAGTCTAAACTTCTGATTTCCATTTTCTGAATGCACAGGTTGTCAAAAACACACACAGTTTACAAACACAGTCATTTATGTCTGTGGACGTAAACAGCAAGTAAAGAAATTGCATGTGTACATTAGATATTATTAGATACATGTGTTAAAGTGAAATATACAGGACCAGGATTGGGTGGATTTTTACCATTATAGTGTGGTTGTGTACACTGCCGACACACATGTTCAATGTAAAAGTGAATTTTACATATAGGTCCCCTTTACTAGCAACACATATATGACTTATTTCTCTACCGTATCATAACATCCCCCTGGAATAGGTCGTTGGAGCCTCAGATCATTACGGCAGCAGATGGATTTGCAAGGTTGCTTCTTTGAATATGGGTCTTTTCTGTAATCTGCATGACAAGTGCTACTGTTCATCAAAGAAATGAGATTATAAAGACACACAGATTAGTTTGAAGAAACATTTTTGAAAACTTTCCAAAGAGAGATCCTAAACTCACCATTATATCTCATATTGTATTTCAAGGTGTCCAGATTAGTGACTATTCCCTGATCCCTGCAGAAAATCTTATGTCGATAGAGGTCTTCTATCTTCACCATGCTTTTTCCACATCGCACCATAACCACTCATTCTGTAAATGTATGAGTGGAAAGGTATGTTGTAGGATGCCCAGTAACTTATTGAGACGATTTATAAAGCATGTTCAATCTTGTTCAATTTAACCTTTAAATCTTCAGTGTTTCCAACCTTACATCCTCTCAAATTAATTTCCATTGGACTGATCATAAGGATTTCCTTATTATAAAAATACTCCTAACCATGACGCAGCACTTGTGACTGATCTGAAGATGCCACCAAACCAGGAATCTGCTCCACAAACGTCAGACTCCATTCATCAATCTGCTTTCCAAGTGAAACTCTTTTCAGGTCCACCACCATACACTGGTTATTGTAGGTCCCTGATAAAAATAATCAATAAAAATTTCAAGACAAGTAGGTAGACCTCTCATGGGTTTGGCTGTTCCAGTATATCTATTTTGGGAAGTGAAATCTTAAAGAGTCCATCAATCATTTACTCACCATCATGTCATTAAAAATATGTTCCTAGGCCATGTGTCAAAGCATTTTTAGCCAGATGACAATGCCAAGCTCTTCTGAAGTGCACTTATGAGCGCTTCGGTGGCACATCGTTTTTTTTTCTCAGTTGAAGCGTTTTGGTTGCAATGATCTGATTTCACAGATAGTTTGTCTCTGAAAATAAAATTTAAACACAATCTGAACTACTTGCTCTGATCATTGTTTTGGATGTTTTTTTTTTTCTGTTGTGCTTGTGGTTGTCTGTTGTCGTTGTAAAAGCAGGATTTGACGGTTGGGTGCAGTGTTGGGGAAAGATATACTTTAAAAATGCATTACTTACAATTTTGAATTACTCGCTTTAAAAGTATACTGGTAATTGTCACTTTTTACTTTTTAAGGAAAGTAATGTGTTATGTTACATTTGTGTTACTTTTTCTCACCTGGGCTGGGCTTGTTTTTTCTTTTTTAACAAAAAAAGTTTTATTTTTGGGCAAATGTAAAGATCCTTTCACAGCAAAATTTAAATAATCAGGCTGAAGGAAATGCAAATTCACGCATGCACGGAACTCAAACAAACCTTTCAGCCATTCTGGATCACAGATGAATAGAATCAGATTAATAGAATTTTTGTTTATGGTTTAACTGAATCATTAAAGGTCAGCAGCAAGAACTATAAAGTGAGATTAAATGCATAACAATGTTTGTTTTATTTGTTTTATTTAACACATTTAATTTTTGGAGGTTGTGCGTAATTGTTGGTAAGTATAGTATAGGTATAGTATAGTTTGAAATCATTTTGTATATTTTAAAGAGAAGTTTCTTTGAGAGGAAATCTTAAAGGGCACCAATTATGCCCCTTTTTATAAGATGTAATATTGGTCTCGGGTGTCCCCAGAATGTATTTGTGAAGTTTCAGCTCAAAATACCCCACAGTTAATTTATTATAACCATTTGAAAATGTCATTTTGGGACCTGCTTAAAAATGAGCTGTTTCGGGGGGTATACCACCTTAAATGCAAATGAGCTGCATATCCCCGCCCTGCCTTTGGATGAGGGCGTCACTTGATACGTATAGCAGTCGGTACTGAGAGAGTGAGAGAAACCGCTGTTTTGAATGTCATTCAGCCGTACGTTTGAATCGGAATATATAAATAGTACGAAGAGACTCCGGCAGAATAAACACAGATGAGAATGGACCAGTACGTCTCGGTATGGTTATTTGACTTTTTTGGTGGCAAGATGGCGCCGGTGTTGGCTGGCCGTCTGTTGCCCTCTTTGACTTTGCCGTTGGCATGTGTTGTTTTTCTACTTATTTCCCTTATCATTACAAATTGTAACTCCATCCTGTTGTATGACCGCCAAACACTGCTTAACATTCGTAGTGTGGTTATGGACTCTACTAAAGGTGATGTTACTGGATATAGAGCGTTCCCATTGCCATTTCCGACCAACCTTCCAGTACACCTGACTTACTTAAAAAAAGCGCCGGAGGAGGCGCGGCAAACGGGGAGGCTTCGCTGTTCATCAAAGAGCTGTATCGGCTCGGGAGAATAGTGCAAGGTGCCAATTCTACTCGTTGGGAGGCCAGGTCCATGGACACGTTGCAGGAAGGCGTTTTTCCGAGGCTCAGCTCCAGCAGCCTCGCGCGATTATCCCTGTTATTATTTCCACGCGTCATCAGAGGACGAAACATCGTCTCCACCGTGGCTGATCTAATCTCCGCGACCTTCGACCACTGTGCCGAGCAACGCAAGCGGTAAGTGACTCATCTTTACTGAAGATAGCCCTTATTAACACACGGTCGCTGATAAACAAAACTTTCATTTTAAACGACCTTTTTACTGCACAAGCTCTGGACTTCCTTTGTGTTACTGAGACATGGATTAAACCTGGCGAATCAAGCTCGCTTGCTGAACTTTTACCACAGGATTGTAACTTTCTAAATACCCCGCGCTCATCTGGCCGCGGCGGGGGGCTTGCGACTGTCTTCAAAAACACTTTTCCGTGCCGATCCTTATCCACAGACTCATATAACAGCTTTGAGTTGCAACTCTTCCAAATACTACTAGCTAACCCTGTCACTGTTACTTTGTTATATCGTCCTCCTAAACATAATTCAGAATTTATTAATGAATTTGCTGCATTTCTGGGGGATATAGTTATTGCTCATGATAAAATACTACTGATTGGTGATTTTAATATTCATGTCCGTTGATTGGTGATTTTAAAATTCATG